AAAAGTGTGGGGGAGCTGCCTCAGTACTTCATTTTGTACAATAAAATCCTTGTTTCACTCTGACTCACAGTCGGACAGCCTTATGTGTTTTGTTAGCGTTTTGTTGCGGTCACATGATTTTTTTTTCGTCTTCACATAATCTCATCTGAGCATTTGTTTAACTCATAAAAAAGTGCAACAGCAGCTTGTCCTTGCCAGCGATGCGTTTCCCTCAGCTCCAGTGTGGTTTTTCTGTTTGCTTATCTCAAACTACAGATGTTTTTATCAAGACATTACGTTGGTCTTTGCATGAGAGTTATCTTAGCAGCGCAGCACAGAGCGGGTCACATGCTTCGTGAAGGTGACGCATGGCAACGGCGCTCTGACGTCACTTCCTGCTCAGGGTAGAGGAGGAAAAGAAATGTACAGCTAATATTACCCTGGCGTCATTTATCACGTTTTGAAATACACTAAAACTGCTCAAACTAATAAAGTGAAAGGGAGTCTTATAATCTTACAAAAGATACATGCCCTTATCAAAACTTTTTATTTAACACTAGAACTCGTACATTTTACAATAGTTCAGTCAATCTGACAGTTTTTAGTTTTGGAAGAGTAATTACTCTTTCTGAATTTTTCTGTATCTGAAAGTAGATTCATTATTTTTTTATTATAAAATTACCCAGTGAGGAGTTCAATGTGACTCCCACCTTTAATTGGAATGCACATTTGAACTTTAGACATTTTTAGTCACTTGGCAGCCAACATTCTATGCCTGTTAAAGCGCCTTATCATGGCGCTGATTCTGAGCCGAGTCAGCTTGGTGTTCCACCAGAGCAGAGTAGGTGCTAGTTTCCATAGCAACACGCTGTTTACTGTTAGCATTTGGTAGCCTTTCAACAAACAGTTTTTTGCTGTATTTGAAGCTATATTCACCAGTTTTAGCAACTTTACTCACTTTAGCAAAGTTTCCTGTACCATTAAAAAACATGTACAATAGTTCAGAATGAATAAGTGTGTTTTGTAAGAGCGAAAGTAGGACAACGAATGCAAATTAGCCCAAGGCTACAATCCGGAGAGGTGTGTTCATTAACATGCACAGTTCATGTTAACGAACACACCAAACCAAATTATACAATAATAACAATAGTTAACCGTCAAAATGACAGCTCCAGGAGTTATAGTAGTTTCAGAATTCTAAGAGTCCTAGTGTTAAGTAACAATAACTAATTCATTATTTGTAAAAACTTATCTTATTCGTTGATATTTAAATGATATCAGACTCCAATGTTGACAAACTATTTGCAACAATGGCATCTCTCTCTTTATACGAGGCATATTAGTTAATATTGATAACTTAGTAAAAGGTAATAATCATGGCATGTTGCCAGGGGTCTTAAAACTCTCAAGGATTTAGAAATGACATACAATTTGCTAAATATATCAAAGTTTAAATGTGAGCACTATAGTAATACAGGATAGTAGATTGTTGACAACATTAGCCCAGCTTCTCATTAAATTGTCTACTTCCCCCAATTGAATTGAACCAACGAGGCTGAAATACTTGTACATCTGTCACAAGCCAATTAAATTACTCTAATGCCCTCTTCTCGGGTCTTCCACTTAAACCAGCCCAGCGTCTGCAGCTCATTCACAACTGTGCGTCTCACTTTCTGACACAGACTACAAACGATCTCACGTTACACCTGTTCTAAGGGATCTCTGGCTCCCACTTCAGCTCCGGATTGACTTTAAAATCCTTATTCTGTTCATGAAGCCCTCCACAGTCCAGCGCCGTCATATATTTAGGATTTACTTATGAACCTGTGCACAGTCTCAGATCCTAGTAAGTAAGTCATCTTTATTTATATAGAGCATTTCAACAGACCAAGGTCACCCAACGTGCTTATCCTCAGAAACTATTTCCTTTACAAACGTCTACTATCTTGCATATTAAAATAAGGAAATGCAATCTGAAAATAATCTAATATAAGTTTGAATAAGGTAGTTTTTCTGTTCATTTTATTTTGTTGTTGGTTTTTATGAAGACCTCTCAGATCCTCAACCTTCTTGCTTCTTGCTGAGGGTTATAGGGGTTTTTGGACTATAAGCTGCGGCTTTTTTCCTTCATTTTGAAGGCTGCGGCTTAAAGTCAGGTGCGGCTTAATTTTTTTATATTTATTTTTTCTGTGGTGCCAAAAACTTTTTGCCTAGTAAAAGAGTCGTTCACAGAGATCCAGTTAAATTGTAAGGTTTGTCAATCCAGCAGATTAAATAAAGTTTAAAAGTCCTCAGTTAAAATATCTTTGTGTAAATATCTCATATAATAAATAGTTTTATGGTTCTCTGTGAAGACATGAAAGTGAAAATAGCACCTGTAGATGTTGCTCATCATCTTCAGATCAGCCGCTCAGTGACTCACTTTTTAGACTCTGGTCTTTTTTACTCTTATTACTGACAGTAAAAAGAGGACTTGATGAATGTTTTTGAGCTACAGTTTTCAATATTACAATGTGGGATATGTGCGATTTATAATCCGGTGCGGCTTGTACAAGTCTAAAATTCAATTTCTTTCTAATTTCTCTGTGTGGAGTGAGACAAATGCCCACAATTGTAAACCGCTTTGTGACTCTGGTCTGTGAAAGGCGGTATATAAATAAAGATTACTTACTTACTTACTTATAGTCAGGAAAAAACGGTAAATGGAACAAACTGCCTAATGCTAATAAATGTCCTCCAACTCTGAGCTCATTCAAGAGCAAACTAAAGACATGTATAGACTTTGTTATCTTCAAGGAGTGCTGTTATCCCTTCATTGTCCTTGTGACTTGTTTTGTTTCACTGTCCTTGTGAAGTGCATCGAGTTGCAGTATTGTATGAAATGTGCTACATAAATAAAATGTCTTCTCGCTCTGAAGGAGTACATGCTCTGAAAGTAGCTCTACATTTGTGTTTAGTTTTATCTTACAACTGTAGTGTTCTGACTATACGTTTTATGAGTTTGAGTAACTAAATAAATAATATACTGCTGCAGAGATTTTTACAAACACAGTGTACTAAAAAACTTACATCTGCATTAACTTGTCCATAATTCACATTTTCTCTGTCTTGCATGTTAAACACAAGCCATGTGAGAATGTGGCACAGTGGTTAGAGGTGTTGCCTTTCAGAAACAAGATATTTCAAACATTTAAATGGAGTTTACACATTCCCCCCAGGTCTGCATAGGTTTCCTCCAGGTGCTCCGGTTTCCCCTAACACTGAGTAAGTAAATAGGTAGATCATTAATATTTATACAGCCCATTTCACGGACCAGGATCCCACAAAGCACTTAAAAATGTGGTAGGTACAATGAGACAGATATTTCCACTGTATTTACATCACAGCTGTGGATTAACACTGTTCATTACTGTCCATTTAAATAAATAAAGTAAAGTTGGCATTAATTGGCCAGAATAAAACTAAACTAAACTAAAAATGGGTTTGATTATATTCGACACTAGCATTTCAAAATCCCTCATCCTCATTTAAAATTCCACATTGGTCAGGTCTAAGAAATAAATTATGGCAATTAGGCTAGCAGTTTACGTTTTGAATCTGGTCATGAATAACCAAACCAGAAAGTGGTTAAAATACCATCAATGATTGAGAAGGACATGTGAGCACATGGACAACTAAGTCAGACGGAAACAGATCCAGGTCACCTCCACAACAACCAAGAAGAATACTGTCCAGGCACCGTGTCGCATACATTTGGCAAAATTAGCAAATCACAAAGACAGCAAACATTCAGATGATATTATTTACTTTACAAATGGTGCTATCTTGCATTTAACAAAAAGGAAATGAAATCTGAAAAATGATCTAATATGAGCTTGAACAAGGCAGTATTTCTCTTTATTCTAGTGCATTTTGACAAGATGAAAAGATGATTTGGTTATGTTTCAGTCCAGTCTTAGGCACAGTGGATTTTTTTCCCTATTTTTTGTGGATTCTTATTTTAAATGAGAAACATTTCTTTAAAATCACCCAGCATTTAGCATTGTAGCTCTATATCTATATATGAATGATCAAATGTTCAATATCATGTTTAACTAATAAAGAACCCGAGTCCATGCAGGCCTCATTAAGCCTGGTTTTACTCCTGAATAGCATGGGAAGGTCTGTATCCAAGTGTCAAACCAGTCCATCCACAAACTTCACAGTTGCATTGTTTGAAAAGGTCATATGCAAACCTCCCGCTGAGTTGAGATCTTTACCCAAATCAGTCTGTTAGAAAACTTTCTAATAAATAATTGTAGCCTACGTTTGTAAGCGCTCAAAGTAGTGCACGTTGAAGGAATAATATATGCAGAGAAATCAACATATTCAAAGATAACACAAAAATGATATAAAGACAAGTGCTGTAAGTTAATTAATGCAAATCATTATTGGAATTGCTGTCAACTAATTTTGTAATTGATTAATCATTTTGATCCTCACATAGATAGATGCTCGGAGGTTGTATGACTCAGGAGGGAAATGAAAATGTGTTAACAAAGTATTTTTAATCTCTTTGAAGAGGTTCTCCAGGGGCATCACTTGAGCTTTGTTGTGGTCAAAGGCCTTAAAATGCTGTCACTGTTAATTATCATTTGTGTGTACTCAGTGGGCACTTGTATAAAGTAGACATTTTTTGAAGGTTTTTTATGCATGCCTTTATATCCTTTCTTTACTATTACAACGTTTGCACCATGAGCCAAAGCAAATTCCAAGTTTGTGACATCCTGTTACCTACAATGGAAATAGAAATAATTCTGAAATCCCATATTCCCTTTTCTTTCACAATCTAAATAATTAATTGATGCATTGCAAGAATAATGGCCCAAATTGCATTACAGCCCCACTTATTAATTATATCTTATTATCACTTCATTATTGCTGCTCCTTATAATTCATATTAGGTTGTTAGTGAACTTTACTGTCCTAAAATAATTAAAGTCAGATTTTGTTTATCTTTCCCCTTCCAGTTCTGGCCTCACCTTCTGGGGGCAATAGACTCTTGTTGTTCTGTGCGCACCATCCCACTGGGTGGAGCTCCGCAGTCATGACATCACACCAGAAGTCGGCCTTCCGGTCCTCTCCGTAGCCGCTGAACCGCAGGAGCAGCAGCTGGCCACATGTGGTGATGATGGTGGCCACCCAGTAGGTGTCTGGGGAACTCTTATTGGCCACTTCCAGCTTCATCCCCGGCTGAAAACTGCTCTGGAGACTGATCTCCACCTGTGGATGGAGACAGGCAGGTCTCAGTTGAATACTGATGACAGGATTTATGGAGTAAACTAAATTGTTCTATTCCATCACGGATGGATAATAGCAGCTTTCTACAAAATCCCACGATTAAAGCAAGGGTACCTCACTTTTTTGTTTATTGAATACTACGTATTGTTTGTCCCAACAGAATAATGAAGTATTGTTAAAACAACACTTTGTGAACAAATCAGACCAAGATACGCTGTCTTTATCTTATTAGAACACATGTGATCTTTGCAGAGCCTGGTGGGACACACTTTGGGCTGAGCATACACTTTTAAAAATCTGCATACAAGTAAGTGAAAAATAGTGATAGAACCAAGATTTAGGAAATATTTACATGGATTTTATTACATAGTTCCATTATTGTGGTTTGAAAGTTACATCCTTTCAAATGAACTCATGACTTTGATGCTATTGCGTGAGGTTGATGGAGCTTTTGGTTAAAGAGCACGTAGTTGTTATGTTCCACGTCTTTGTCTTCCTCATCGTACACATATTTTTTCACCCGTTGACAAGTGTCTGCCTCTGTCTCCAACAGGACTCTCGAGAGGCTCATATCTATTCATATAGACTCTTAAAAAGCTTTTTGGACCAGAGCTTAGACTCTCATTTGTCCATAGGCTGCATGTCTCTGCTCTTTCGCAAACACCAACCGCTGAGCGGAGGGGCGGAGTTAAAATGCAATGTAACTCACGTTACTGACCTTTGTACCAAGTAAATATACCCAGTTTCAGCAAAAAGTAATACATTACAGTAATTACATTACTTCCAACACTGGGTTTAATAAAGGGGACGAGGTCTGCCAATTTGCCTCTGGACATGGCATTGGTTACATTGCCATGTAACAATGTTCTTTGTCCTGTCCCTGTTCAAATAAACTACTAAATAAATGTGAAATTTATGAAATAATGGTTCTATTTGAAATGGCCTGTGCGTTCCCAGCATAGCCACAAGCAGCCTTATAGGTCACTTCTAAGGCCAACAGGATGTCCATTCAACATGGCTGCACAAGTGCATGGAAAAAGCCAACATCATAGAAAGAAATACAATGTAAATGGCCTTGTGATTTCCTGCAACAACAATGCAATCGTGCTGCATCACCCTGGGCCGATTATGTAAGAGGCTGCGCTCCTGTTCGAGTAAGCTTCACCCTCTGTGTGTGCCAGGCCAAAAATACATAAAAAACACTGCTACAGTTGTGAGAAAGATAGAGCTGCACTTTACTGAATCGCAATTTCTGGAGAATTCATGGTCCGTTTGCCAGTGACTCAATCCACTTACTAACAAAGCAATTTGGCTTCCCGAGAGGCAGCAGTCGCTCAAAGCATTGCACAATGAGTTTGTCCGACATTTGGGCTTTCATAAAACATATCTTTTTTACCTCATTACCTTCATCACTCTGGTCTGAGTGATGCAAGGAGCTGAAATACGGATACAAATGGTAAATTGTATCTGTATTTCAACGTCCTCCCACATTGGAAGTCACAGAGGAAGCAGATGTAGCTAGTCCTCTGAGGTAATGCAGGCAATAGGGGATGGTTTGACATGTTTTGTTATGTTAAAGCTGGGGAAATAAACTTTAAAACCACATAAAATTTCAACAAAAATCTATCTAACTAGTTCATCACTCTAAATCAGTTTGCATATATTACAAGTTTTCAAATGTATGTGTTTTTTGGCCTGTCACATCCTTTCTCACATAAAAGTGAGAAAGAGAGGACCAAACTCACAAAGTGTACCAGGGCTCTTCCTTACAAGTGTGCAAAAGATATCAAAACATTCTGATAAAATATAAAAATAACATGTTGTAGTCATGTTTGTTCCCATTATTTGCCTTTTGCAAGACTCTTTCTGTTGGGACAAACCAAAAGTATTATATATGAAAAAACCCCAGCTATAAAGAGAGTTATATTTTTGTAGAAGTTAGGAGATTCCTAATAGAAAATAGCTAATAGCTGCATCAGAGCAAAGAATGTGTGTCGATGAGTGAGATAAAACTGGTAAGGTTCGTTAGGCAACTTCTGATAAAGAAGGAGAGCCAATCAGAGACTTTGTCAGTGCCCTGCCAAAAGCCACGCTCTTTTCAATATGTCATTAAAGGGTTTTGCATTTGTGTCCAGAGCCACGGGGTGTATTCAAAGTGCTGGATAGAGATTCTTACATGTTTGAAGTTGGTGTGAGGGCCTGCACTGCCGCCTTTCTCCTCCATGTACTCCTCCCAGTTAAACTCTGTGTCCTCCTCAATAGAATCTGCAACAACAATCTCCCGTCAATCCTCTTTCACAAGCAGGAAACATACGTGTGAGTAAGTAGGTCAAAATAAATGATTGCGTGAATCAAAATATAAAGCAGGTCATTATACTTCTGTTTAGAAAATGTCGTGGTACTAGGGCTGCGCAAATTTTGGCTGGTTACACAAACAGGTGAATATTGTTCAGAAGTACATTTATTTTGGCAATTCAACTTGAAAATGTGAAAAACAATATATGATAAAGGGCTTAAAGATTTTTTTAAATAAAAAAAAGCGTTTAAAGAAGATTGCGTAATTACCTGACATATGCAGTACTAGCTTATTATCTACTTTAGGAGTGTGACGATATATCGATATGGTGATGAATCATGATACTTTCTCACGCGATCGATTATTGATATGCTTTTTCCAAGTTTCAATTAAAAAAGAAAAAAAAAATATTTCAATCTTTTTTGTGTGTGGTATCAATACGTAATATATGGCTACATAACGCATCTCTAATAATCTGCTTTGACCCAGATATTGCCAAAGAAACACATCTGCATTTATCAGCTGACCTTGCTGCCAACAGACCATATGTGCTGTATTTGAATCCAGAGTTGAGAATTAGTTAATAACTTACACTTACAACAATTTCGTTTTATTCAGATTGCTTTACTTAAAGATAAACAGCATATTTCTGACCAATATATTGATAATCGTCATATCGTGATATAATCGTTATTGTGAGCTTTGTATCACGTATCGTATCGTGAGGTCCCCTGAGGTTCCCAGCTCTAATCTACTTGGCACTCTTTGTCTTACTTAAAAACAACCTCAACATATTGAATAAAAATAATTACATTTAATAATAAACAATATAGACTCATTAAATGCAAATAAACATATGCCAAGATTTTGTTAGCTATAATTTGGAGGATTTTGGCTTACAAATCCATGTTTAAAATATTTACTCAGAGTTTATATTTGAGGTTTTTACAAGCATTAAAACAAATAAAGGTATGATATATCTGACTGTCGTTCATTTGTTTCCCGCAAGTTGAATTGCAGAAGTAAATGGACTTCTGAAGAATTTGCAAGTTTCACCTGTAGATAATAAACTGTAAATATATGAAGTAATCCCACACATTTCAGAACATGTTTTACCCTATTAAAAACACTTTTCATTTGCTATGTACTACGCTAGAATCCAGTAGTTTTTACCTTCACACCTGACAGTTTCTATACCACTATATACCTGCCCTGCTATTGCCACTTCTTTTTTTATTGCCACTTTTTGATTGTACATTCTATCCTGCACAGACTATACCTTTAACATGTTGCACACTTCTGTCTTTTGCACAAGCTGAGCCCAAGCAATGTGACATGTAAATATCTTATCTTATATAACAAGATAAAAAAGACGACAGACGACAAGACAAAAAACACTTGCTTCTTGCTCGTTCCATTGAAATCCAGCCCAAAACCCAGATATACTAAAGCAAACTTAGCTTTTTTTAAATAACTTAAGTGCAAATAACCAATTCAACTGCAGACGTTGAGAATTGCAACCACAAACTTGATTGAACCACAATTCATCTTGCAGCCCTTTTGCTGTTGACTTTCTGCAGCAGTGAGTGACGCACCGGTGTGGACTTCCTCTTCTTTGCCGTTGGTCGGACTGTGGGACTTGACCACAGAGTTCTGCTCCTTGGTGAGAGGCTGCATTTTTATGTGTTGAAGAGCAGATATTCTGACTCCTGCTTCTTCAAATCTTCTTTAGTTCATTTCTTGACTTCCTGAAGGCGACTGCAAGAAAACAAATCCGTGTTATTTAGAAATGAGCCAATACAAATACAGAGAGTTTAAATGCCCTTCTTATAAATATACCGTTCAATGGGTACTGATGCAGAACCATAGACTGTCTACGGATGAACAATGCTAACCCGCTAGCTCAATTAAGCCTAGTAGGGAAGTGCTCATGGACAAGGTTTTGGTCCAACTTGCTCTGACTCTTGTTGACTTACACTATATGTAAAAACACTCCTTTATTGCTCAGTAACTGTTTGTGGCACACACCAATTTGGTTTAGAAATGTGTGGTTTAACACTCTCCATAATCCTGCAGTTTACATTTGGATATTGTCTTGGTAAATCCAGATAAGAGCCATAAAGATTGGCCAATTACTTCCTTTCATTCACAGGCAAAACTTCAGCTTGCCTTTGTCTATCAAGTAAGTAATCTGTATTTATATAGTGCATTTCACAGACCAAGGTCACGCAAAGCTCTTTACAATGATTATGGAGTGTGTATTTCTTCATTCACCCCACACATGTCTCTGAAAAGATAATAATTCACACAGGAAAGTGAACAAAAAACAAACATCAAGCAATATCAATATATCGATATTGGCTGATTCTTCTTTTAAAAGAGAAGAAAACAACATACAACTCATCGAAACACAATCCTCTACTAGACAACAGCACAGTGCAACATTGTGACACACACAATACTTAATGCAGATGTGCCTAAACAAACTGTAGGGCTAGTTTAGTTCTGTCAAAAAAATAAACTAAAATGACAGAACACCTCATTTGGATAAAATCAAATCAAATAGACTTCGGCATCTGCTACCAGGAAATTCATCACATCCATCTATACAGTTTTCTTCAAATAGCTATTTATTTTGTTAAATGTTAGTTTGTTTTGCTGCTAATTCACTTTTACTGCAAATGATTATCATGTCTGTATAGCAGACAGTTATTGGATAATACAGTATATTGGCTGATGTATTAGTGGTTAAGCCAATATTGCTAACGGCTTACGACGACTACTACTACAACTAATTATTAAATTAAATCCATATCGGTAGATTTCTACGAACCAGTCCCAAAAAACACGTCTTGTTGAAAAGAGACTCAGTGCACTTTCATAAATTAAACTCAGAAATCAGATATAATAGCATGGGTAATGGGAATGAAGATAAAAATTGAGTCAGTATAGGAACCTGCACTGTAATTATATGAAGCTAATTAAATTATAACCAGAAAAGGACTGGGCGGTTTATTTGTAATGGCTGTCTCAAATTTAAAGCTGGTGTACCCAATTTTCAAACCACAAAACCTGTAAGCCCCTGGCACGCAAAACTGTTTGGTTCCATTCACATGACACTTTTCCTCATAGAAATTATAATAAAACATTGAACATGTAACATATAAACATAACAAACGCAAAAAAATCATTAGTTTTGTGTGTCCCTTTTTTTGCAAATAACTTAATTGTAAATAACCAATTCAAATTTCAGTCTTGGAGATTTGCAACCAATGAAATGAAATCCATCAAGTCCCTGGCTCTCAAAACAGTTTGGTTCCATTACATGCATGTACCTTTGGCCTCTGTCACTTCTTTAGATCAGTTTTTTCAGACAGAAAAGTTAAAATGAGAGAACCACCCTCCCTCGGCCAATCAGCTTTCAGTTTAAAGCCTCAAATATGTACAAAAACAGTAAGGTACCCCAGCTTTAATCAGAATCTTCAATACTAATGGAGCTGCTCACCAAGCTTTTTTTTTTTTTTTCAATAATCGACAATTCTTTTAGCGAATAATGTAATGTTACCTGGTATTTTTAGAGAGCATAACACATGTAAGTGCTTTGAGATGTGATTTTACAAACAAGTGCACAAATGTCTCAAATTTAATGATTCCATTTCTGCCTCTGCCTTCTAAACAGCCAATAGATTAATTGGTTGTTTTGGTAGTGGAAATAATTGGTTGTCAAAATACAATGTCAAAATAACTGGTTGTCAAAAATAACTGTTAGTTGCGGCACGAAATTCTAATGGAACTACACAATGACACGATCCACTGTCATTCTATTCTCAAAAAAACGTGCCACTCAATATTTACTGGCTAGAGACGAGCTTTGATTTTTTCACATGTGCCAAAATGCCTGTGTGATCCAATGCACTGTTGGAACGAGAGAGGCTGTGGAGGCTTGCTCTTGTGGCAATGACAACAGGGATTGTCAGCACAGAAGGGTTTTACATCATGTATATACGATTTAGTAACATTTCTCGGATAGCATTTTATTTTGGCTGAAAGCTAGGGTTTGGTTATTTGGTTCTTCTAAAACAGACAATTGTAAGACGGCGCTAGACATTTCTGAGGATGATGGAAGTTACTGTCGAGACGTGTCAAGATTAAAACATCGCTATTTTACAAAAGTCTGGTATAGAAGATTAAGATTTTTTTGTCTCACAGTGGAGAAGTTTTAGTGTTGTTACAGAACAGAAGGAATGAGTAACAGCCCTGTGTGTCACTATTTGCCTCTTTGGGCTTAGAGCGTATTGCCTGAGTGAATGACCGAGATCTGCCACTGATCTAAAGATGTGACAGAAGCCAAAAACACATACACCTGAAACTAGTGATTGAAAATAGTTTTGAGAGTGAGGAACTTGTTGTTGGGTAATTTAGGTACCCCAGCTTTAATATAATATGAAAGTAACAACAAAACAATCCAAGCATTTTAGTGGAAGCAGCCCAAACCTGGAGACAGTGCATGTGCTGTGGATATTCACAATACAGACTTGTGAGGCAGCAGACGATGACAGTGTCCCCAGTGTGAGGCTGTCGAGCCCCTCAGCCCCCGCTGTCCCTCTGTGGCCACAGCATACATCCATTGCGTAAACAACAAGCTGAGCTAATTTAGCTCACATGACGCTGCACGCTGCCCTTCTCCCCTCTCAGGCTTTTTTTCTTCTTGCCAAAGTCTCTTATAGTTGTCAGTATCACTCACACGGTAGTTGCGAGAAAAAAAAATAGATTAAAAATGCATACTCAGCATATTGGATTTCCCCACAAAAATACCCTTTGGTTTCGAGACACTCTGTCAGTAAGCGTATACTTATAGGAATCATCAATGTGATAAAATCCAGCTACTAGATTTTTGTGGTTCTTAATCTTTTTTTTTTCCAGATTTGCATACATGATATATCGATATATCAATATTGAACATTTACAGCTAGCTAAAACAAAATATAGCAGCTACTTTTATTGTTTATACTACTAAATACTGTCCTTTTCAGACAGAAAAGTGACAAAGGCAGGACCACCCTCACTCTCACATGTTTTGTTACATGAATCACATGTTTTGTTACATGAAGACAGGATTATGTGGTCTAATTTGTCCCAAACATTTTCCTTTTTACAGATCTCTTTATGGGACAAACAACAAGTTATTGTTTATATATTCAAAACAAGTTAGGTATCCCAGCTTTAACAGTTTTTTAGAGAAGTTCTGTTCTAATAAAGCGAAAATAACACAGTACAAATGTGACATCACTGAAAAAATCCCCATGATGTGTTTGTCGGCTTTGCAAACATAGAAAGGTCACCTGCTTTATCTCTTTTAAATCCTGACTACACCGAGAAATCATACTTTAGTCACATGTTCACTGGTCATGTCAATATACTGCATAAGATCTTATTTACTTATGATCAAATCTGACTGTTTATAATCTGTAATATTGCAGTTATTAGCCACAATCTATTTTAAAACTACATAAAATATATTAGAACGTGTACTGTATTGTTATATGCAAAGATTAGCTGCGCAGAGGGAATGACACAAGCGTTCCAGATCGGACACTGTGGATTAAACTCTTGGAAGGTTAATCTAAAATATAGGACATTTGTGCCCCCGGTCCTCATAGAGTATACAGGCTTTTATTGATTAGCCCCCAATGGGAGCGCTGGGCATCCACGTGTTGTCCTGTCTTTCCCTAAACCAATCCTGCCAAAGATTTAATGGGGGATTTAAGGAGATTAACTACCACTGCACGGTCTTGGCTTTTATTGAATTATTCCCCATTTGGCTCTCCATTCACAGCCACTTCTTCTATCGTAACATCGTCAAAACAATTAGGTCTTTTTTTTTCTTGTTCAACATATTAAATCCATTTTTAACACTGCATCATTGTAGATCCATCCCTGAGGCAGCTGAGCAGAACAATGATAGAAAGGATCCTCTAGCCACTTAACTTGTACCTCAATTTCCTGCCTTTGCAAGTAACATGATGAACTTTTTGCACAAGCCATTATCATTTTAGTTATTTTATATTTCAACTAGTGTTTTGCCTGCAAAGATTGTCTATTGGGTTCCTCCTATTCCAACCTTCCTGGTATAGTGGTCTGTAAAAACAACTTAGTATGACAAATTCAAAGAGTATTTGAAGCTTCCATTGTTAGACTTCATGATTGAAACGTGTAGAAGGATTCCGAGAATACTAGAATTCTGCAAAGCCGCACATTTATAGAGAAGAGCGGAAGAAAACGACACAAAACCCCCATTGAGTTTTAATATCAGAAAATTACGCAAGGGAATACATTTCAGGTTATATGCACGTGGGTGTTGGAAGATGAAGCTAGAAAGGTTGGGATCACTTTAAGCGAGAACGAATTCGAAAGAAGGTTTGGTGGTAAAAGTGAAAGAGGAAATGTTTAAGCGCACACGAGGAAGATGAGGCGGGGGGTGTAGGCTGACAGGCACACAGCACATGTACTTTGCACACTCAAAACTGCAGCGGAAAAAAACTCCCACCAAGCCGACAAATCCACACAACGGATTTAATTTAATAAGTATTGTGTATTTACACTAAACGAAACAAGATTGATCGCGGTAGCTGCTATAAATGTATTTTTTCCTTGTTCAAAGGTTTTAGGGCGCAGTTTTTTCCCTATACGAACACCATTACCCGCCATGTTGAAAGTGCTTTGACATTTTGACAGTCTGTATTTTTCGAGATTGTCAACAACAAACACAGCAGAGGGAGGTTCTCATGGAAAAAAACAAATGGCAAATTCGGAAATTGGTTATTTCACACTCACTCTCTTTGCACTTTATCAAAAAGCAAAGTAAAGACTATAGCCTGCTTGATTAGACATAATGTGTGTTTAACCCATAATATAAATATCAATGCAAAATATGAACTTCAAAAATAAGGTACTCACTAATGAATATGAAGGTACAACCAAAATGTCCACAAACCTTGGCCTGTGTCTCTCCAGTGTCCACTGCGTCGCCCTTCTGTTCGTGACGTTGCGTGAGACACTTTGGCCAAGTTGAGCACAGAAGAAAAAAAACCTTCACGAGTATTTTCGCGTTTCTACAGAAACAGCCTCGGGAGCACTTCAGGCTTTAAAGCGGAGGAGGACAAAACACACTCAACGCGCCTCTATGTCTCCGCAAGAGCAGCAAAAACAGAGTGTGTGTGGAGAAAACACGGAGCCATCACCTGCCTGTCTTACCTGTCCAAGTTTAGTCCCAGTGCGTCCCGGGCTGAGGCTCCTTCTCTCTCCGCTCGACTCTCAACAGCGCGACGCCTTTCAGCTGCTGCCCCCGTTCCAATATGGCATCTGTGATCTGCGCATGTCCACACAAACTACACATATTTCCAAACCAACTCCTCCACTGACTTTAAAGCGTGACTAATCATTAGTGTGGTACAGAGATAAGTTAACCTATTTGTGCAACGTTCTAATGGACACCATTACGCGCGAGAGCTCTGCCCACTGGAATAACCACATACAACCGAAATATCCATTGCTGTTCTAAAATAAAGCCATCACTCAATGCAGGGAATAAGAGCATAATTAGGGAAAGTCAAACGTACACTTGAATGCAATCATGAATACGTCTTGATTTAGGAAAAACACATGGCAACTGTTGTGTGCAACCTTGAGTGCCAAATAATAACCCAGTATCATAAGATTAAGAGACTATACCACAGATTATTATCATTATTATTATTATGGATGATTTATTATAATTCCAAGCACTTGAATAAAACATATGGTCACAGATAGGTTAAACACAACATATATGCTCATTAGTTGTATTTAAAGTCAACAGTATCCTCTAGTGGCAAGAGTGCATTATGAATACTTTATTATTGGTGCCTCAGCCGTGAAGAACATGTGTTTAGTGCAGTTGAGTTTAGGAGTTCACGCCTGTATTATTTTTGGGGTGTTGTCAGAAAGGTCAACCGTTTTGCCTAAGTCTAAAATATTGTACAGACAGTGCCATATGCAACGATTGGTAAAAAAAAAAACACAGATTAGGCTATAATTTCACAGAATCTCTTTTAATGACAAAAAGTGATGGAGGCTTAATGAAAAGGCGCTCACGATGTTCGCAAAGCAGATGGTTGAAGCGCGTGCCTCGCTTCATTAATCTGCCAAAGAAGGAGCTTTTCCACGCGCGCCCTGGGATTATGTCCATGGAGTGCGTCCACAAGTGGCTAGTTGGACTTATTCACTGTGTCTAAATGTACAGTGAATAAGATTATACTGTTTTAGTATATCCAACTGTAAAATGCATGCATGGAGCAAGTTGAATCAAACCATAATGTATGTTTTAATATATCTAAATGTAACTATAGAGCAAGTTGAATCAAACCATACTGTATGTTTTAATATATCTAAATGTAACTATAGAGCAAGTTGAATCAAACCATACTGTATGTTTTAATATATCTAAATGTAACTATAGAGCAAGTTGAATCAAACCATACTGTATGTTTTAATATATCTAAATGTAACTATAGAGCAAGTTGAATCAAACCATACTGTATGTTTTAATATATCTAAGCAAGTCGAATCAACACACATAGGTCCAGAACTATAGGACTAAACATGGGGCGGCAACGTTTCGGATTTATGCAGCTAAAATCTCTTCCTGAAAATGTGAGACAGGCTTCTTCTCCGACAATGTTCAAATCCAGGTCAAAACAGTTGTGTTCAGCTGTGCGTACTGAAGGATTTTAGCTTTATGTGCTGTGATTATTTATGATTTTAATGCCTTGTGTGATTGTTCTGTTAAGCACTTTGTGTTTCCTTATATGTACTGCAGCTACATGTACTACTGAAACTCCTACAACAACAACAACTCCTACTAGTACTACAACTGCAAATGCTACTATGACAACCACAACTACAACAACAACAACAACCACTACTGCTACTACTACTACTACTACTACGGCTACAACTACCTCTACTGTGAGTAGGCAGCAGTGGCTCAGTTGGTAGAGCATTGGCCTTTGAGCCACTGATTCCCACTAATGTGTCGTTGTGTCCTTGGCAAGACACCTCTGGGAACACCAGGTGGCACAGTGGGGCGGCTGTAAAGTGCCAAACTGCTGTGGTGTCCTTAGGCAAGACACTTCACCCACATTGCCTGGAATGAGTCGGGCGTGTGTGTGAATGGTTGGTGGTGGTCGGAGGGGCCGATGGCACATACTGGTTGCCTCGCTTCTGTCAGTGTGCCCCAGGGCAGCTGTGGCTACAGTAGTAGTTTATCACCACTGCCCTGCGTCTTTGAGTGTCCAAAAAGTGCAATATAAAACCAATACATTATTAATTATTATCATTACTCCTACTACAACCGCTATACTATTACTAAAACTACTACTACTACAACTACTGACGCTAAAATTACTACAACTACAAGTACTACAACAACAACTACTACTACATCTACAACAACAATGAATTCTATTACAACTACTCCTACTATATTTATACTACTACTACTACTACAAGAACAACAACTAATATACTACTACCATTACTACATCTACAACTACAATACATACTAGTACAACTACTCCTACTACATTTACTACTACCATGTGGGCTGGCACTTACATAAAATTCATGTACTTCTACTTCTACTAGATATATCTAAAATAAATACTTCTACAAATACTACAACAACAAAATCCACAAAAAATACTTCTATTACCACAACAACAACAGCAACAACTACTACTACTATTACTGCTACTACCACCACCAGTACAACTATTACCACAACTTCTATTTCTACAACAACACCACAACCACATACTATTTACATACCACTACTAAATATTCTAACTCGTTCAGACACACGCACACACAAAAAAACACGCGTGCACTCACACACACGCATGCACACACACACACACACGCACACGCATACACACGCACACACACACACACGCACACGCATATACACACACACACGCACACACGCACATACACACACACGCACACACACACACACACACACACACACACAAACACGCACACAAAACGGTAATGAGAAAGCTGACAATATTCACAGCTTTTACTTTGACAGTCACACGCGGATGTACATCGTCTTATCAAGGCACGATCTGACGTCAATATTTTCGTTTTTATAAAAATTGTTGACTGTGAGCAGTTTTGGCGTTTCCTCCCAGTTCTTTGAATAGGATGTCGCACTGGGTTGAGGGGACCCTTCTTCAGCAAGTTTATTTCACTGGGGGGATCTAGAGCTGGAGACGCTGATTCCATATTGCGTCGCCTTTACGCTACGTTGTTATTGTTTTGCCGATCGCTTCGATATGGACCCAGCATACAGAGACATGCTCCTGATGAGTAAATCTGTGGAGGATCTCAAGATTGAAGTGACGAACATGACGGACATCAACAAAGCGAGTCCGCACGGCTGTGAGAACGGCGCTCTGACGGACAGGTTCGGGGTGCTGATCCAGGCGCTACTGGGCATCGTGGCCTTTAGCACTTTGATGGGTGAGTATCTCGTGCTTAAACCTTAAACATGCCCCATGCCCACTATTATTATTAGTATCATTTCCAGAGATCATTGCGTGTGGAAATATGTTTTGCCTAAGAGAATGTGTATGTCCTATATTCATACGCAGATAATGTATTCGTTGTTTATATGGTTGGGACAGTACACGTTAATGAACACATCATTCCGGATTGTAACCTAATAAATAATAAATACATTCCGGGTCCCTAACAGATATAAAGCTGGATAAAACATCAATAACACAGTTTAAGTAGTATTTCAAACATATTATTCAAATCAATTCCATCTATTTTTGCACAGCCCTAAATCACAGCATTAGTTGTCTCAGAGGAATTAACAAAGTTGTTGATACACCAACAACAGATCAGAGAATCAAACAGTTTGGACGCAGGAGTTGCAATAAAAACAAACACATAGGAGACATTGGTCCATAGGGAGCAGGATGACCAATGTCCATAGAAGTCTTAAATGTTGATAATCACTGTCCTTAGACCCTCCTGCATTGACAAGGAACAACTTAAAAAAACCAGTGGGAAAATAACTGCATGATACATATTTAGTGAATTATGTTTTTCCAAGATGTTATAAGATATAGGGGATAACCAACCACAAAAAATCAATCACAGAAATAGATAAAAGAAAAAATTGGAAGGAACATGTTTTTAAGGAAGCCATGCAGGTCGCTGTAAAGGAAGCATCCTGGAGTCAGAAGTTCTAGTTATTCCGCTGTGGTGCCTAAGGGTGATCACAAAAACAAGATGATCCTTGAGAGAAAGTAGACAACATGAACAATGGCTATTCTTCAGCGCCCTTGTGATTGTGAGGCAGCTGAGATGGCTGGGGCATGTTGGCTCTGACTGGGTTCTTCTGGCCTATAGTTTAGTTGACGTGAGTGAAAACTAGTCTGGGAACAATATGTAGGTCAGTGCATGTCTCTGAGAAATGTCACAAGCTCAGATTCTGTCGAGGCAATCAATGATGTGATTAAGTTCAACAAAATCAACAAGCTCTGTATTGATCAAAATTGATTGGTTTACACTATTGCATTATTTCAGCTCAAAGATCAGATGAGAGGCCACTCAAGACAAAACTATCTACAATTTAATATTTTAGACGTACTGGAAAACCAATCATTGCATGCTGGGCTTATCAAAGCGGAGTGGTAAATATATAATATAATATAATATAAGTTAATATAAGTTAATATAAAGTTAATGAGACTCTATTTTGATGCTATTAACTATGACTATTTTATACATGTATCAATGTCTGGTTGTGTTTGAAAGTTCCTGTTTCACATGTTGAGCAACATTTCATTCCTTACAGTAAATAGAAACTCGGCATTAGTAAGTAATTAGTAAGTAATCTTTAGTAAGTAATCTTTATTTATATACCGCCTTTTCACTGCACATCGGAGTCTCAAAGCGGTTTACAATTGTTATTTTTGGGAGTGGGGCCAGTACAGGAGGCACATGTCAGAACTATTGTACATATTTTTAGTGGTAGGGGAAACCGGAGCACCCGGAGGAAACCTACGCAGACACGGGGAGAACATGCAAACTCCACTCAGAAAGGCCCTGGTCCAACCGGGATTTGAACCCAGGACCTTCTTGCTGAGAGGCAAGAGTGCTATCCACTCAGCCACCATGCCGCCCATGCCGGCATTAGCTGGAAACAGTAACAATAAACTTGTAGTAATGCTTTTCATTCTGTCTGCAGTGTGCATAAACAACAACCAATACTATTCAATACTTTATTATGAATGCTATTAAATTATTCTTTACAGTAAAACGATTCAGAGAACCGGCAGGAATCCGACGGCCCTGGAGGATTTGGTGAGATTCTGCACTATACTAATTTGGTTTTGTATATGTTGCACATTTTGGCTCATTAACATGTGTTTCTTAGGTTTTACGACACATCAAAACAGGCCATCGGTTCTCTTTTCATTCATTTTGCTAACATCTTCCTGTCCACCTTCACAACAGATGACCCCTGCTCCCTGTGAGTTAAAGAAACACTTATCATTTACGAAGTAGAATGAGTGAATATGACACTGACTCTTTCCTATTTGCGTCAAAGGTATCTGATGAACTTTCTGTTGGATGCCACACTCGGGATGCTGGTCATCTGGTTGGCTCTGAAGTCATTTTCCAAACTTGTTGAATACAAACAGTGGACATTCCTATTTCTGGGAGAATACGGTAAGGACAAAATATAGCGTTGGGCTGCATTATTTCATGCTACCAGTAGATGGCAGCATATCAGTTCTATTTAGGAGGAGGCTTGTTACGGACTATAATATAGACATAGATCATGATTACAGCGGAAAAACCAGGCTTTTTCTCCCGTTTGTGTCTCAATATCAGATATATTATTGATTTTGCACAGTGACAGTTTAACATCCAATCCAATCTGTGCCCGTTTTCAGGCGACCCTCCTCAAGCCGCTGCTTGGCTTGGTCAGTGTGGCATTTATCTGCTCATTATGGTGCTGGAAAAAGGAGTTGTCAGCCTGGTGCTGCTCATCCCTGGATGGTCTGATGTAAGTATTTGGAGTTTTGAAATAATGTTTTAAAGTGACCCGATCTTATATTACACCTTCATCTTTTATATGTGTGCCCAGACAATAGATCAACATACAAATGATATTTTGCCTTTTCTGAACAAAAAAATCTTTTCTAATACAATGTAAACAAAACATAGCACATGCTTACTTACTTAAATGAACGCAGGTACAAAAATAAGTTGCAATACGTAATACAGAGTTTGCACCTTTTCTAGTTTAACCTCAGCAGAAGGTTTTTTGATATTTTGAATCTACTAATTTGAATATGTATGAATTCTACATATATGAATATGACCCACACATGTCTTTGATCCTCATGTAGTGCTTAATGGCAAGACAAGGCAAGTTTATTTGTATAGCACAGTTCACAAGACAACTCAAGGTGCTTAACACAATATTAAAATCATGAATAATGACACTAAGGCATTCAAAAAGAGTGAAGATAGAATCCCTCAGTTGTATGCACCGCTAAACAGAATTGTTTTCAACCTGAATTTGAACATCGTCTGAGTAGAAGCGTGTCTCACATTTTCAGGAAGACCAGTTCCAGATTTTGGCTGTACAGTAAATATCTGAAACGCTGCCTCCCAATGCTTATACCTGACTCTGGGCACCAGCAGGAGGCCTTCTTTAATCCTAATTTTTGAAAGATGTTTTTTTTGTTTTAGTTGCAAGCAGTGCTTTTGGACTTCATCCCAAACCCACAGCTGGAGCTGGTGCTGGTCATGCTCATTGTGCCTTTCATCGTCAATGTGAGTGTTTGAATGTTCATTTGCATTTGGGCATTTACAAAGCAATAATCTCCATCGCTCTTTTCAAAGGCAATCATGTTCTGGGTGGTGGATAATCTGATGATGAGGAAGTTGAAGACGATGAAGACTTTAGATGACACCTGTGAGAGCTCAGTGACGAAGGCTGATTCTCTGCTGAACTCAGATGAAACACAGGTGTGCAGGGAATTATAAATATGAGAGTCAAATTCTGGGACTTTTTAAATATGGAAAGTTTCCACGGGAATTCATGGGAATTAATGGGAATTTATTGGAATTAACATGAATTTATTGGAATTAACATGAATTTATGAGAATACAGGGAATGCAATAGGAACTTTCCAAATGGCAGGTTAGCTCTTCATGTTTACGGCCCCTATTCAAATAAACTAAGAAATTAATGATTTAACGCTAGATCTCCAATATATCTAAAACTTTGAAAACTCTCAGAGCCGTCATTTTGACTGCTCCCATTCAAACCAATGGAATTCTGAGTTTTCCACCAGATTTGACATCTACAATTAAACTGTGTGTTGCTATGGTGACTAGTACTTGCTCTTGCAAAGGCAGAACTGCTCACATTTCAAAAACAATAGATACATTTAATAAAAATAATGGCATAGAAATCAACTATGCATAGATACAGAGAAGTCAGTTCACAAATTAAAAGCCCTCAAATTGACTGCTAGGGGAGTAGCCAATAGTGTTAATTAGTCTGAATAAGACATATTGTCCGTGTGTCAGTGCGCTACAGATACATGTGCTTTAATATGTTTGAATCTGCCCTAGGTCCTCTTAACGGAGGAGACGGACACAGAACATGCAGAAAGTGACGATGAAAATGGACCTGTCCCTCCAGTGCAATTCTCAGGAGGAGCGCTGAGGCCGAGCTGGGTCACCCTGTGAACATTTGCACTTCTGACTACGCTCTGAATATTCCAGTATACTCTGGACTTGGAACAATGGTCACACATACCTTTTCATCGCCTTTGATAATGTATGGTGTATGTTTTACATGTAAAAAGTGTATGGTATTATTGATATGTTTGACTTCAGGAAAACCACTGAGAAGGATGTGGTAAACACTATTTGCTGCTGCAGGGAGAATGTGAGCGTGGTCTTTAGTTGGGACGCAGCAGAAAGGGTGTCCAATTCCAAAGCAGCACGGGGGACTACTGTATTCACATTTTTACTTTGATAACAGTAATTAAAGCATGTGTTTCCTTTACTTATTTTAGCATGACTGCAGGCAATCCTTTATGGTTTTAACAGCACAGAGAGACAGTTATACAAACATGTAATCCACAAGAATAATTTGTATTTATTATTTGTACAGTAGTGTTGCTCTTCAAAATCATTTTCAAGTGCCATTGGTATCGCTAAATGGGACCTTTTTAATCATAAGATGGTAAAGAGGATGGTAAAAACATTGTCTTTCAGGTACATTTTATTTTTTGTTAACAGCTGAAGCTTATGTGTTGGAAAACCAAAATGTGTGAGATGAAGTTTGTATGAGCAGGTATCAAATATAGTCAGAAAACATGTTTACATTTTAAATTACAGCTGTTTGTCTGCATTTTTCTTGGAAATTAAATTTTTGTTTTTGCCTTATTTGTTTGTTGTTTAATGAACATCTGCACTGCAAAAAGTGATAAAAAATAGGTAAAACATTAAACAAATGAATGATCTGAAAAGGCCTCAGCAGCACGTGCGTCTCTTTGAATCTCTGAATAAAAGGTGATTGACATGGAGCATTGTTGAAGATTCCTGGAGTAGCCAGAGCCTGACGACAGACTGAGAGGGACACCTGTGTGGGCGGAGCGAGCCGCTTTGTGACCTGCAGCTGATGACAGAGCTCCTGGAGCGTCTGGGACCTCTGTCACTGCTGAACACGGCCACTTACTGCCCAGGTATCCATGGAAACCAGCTGTGAACTTGCACAATGCAAACATGCCGACATGCACAAAACAGAGCATTTCTGTTTCTGGCAAATGAATCAGTTTCTGTACTTAGTATCTTTTAATGTTAATAAAAATGTAACACATTTTATACAATAAAATATCATTTCCATTAGAAATACAAAAATAAATTTAGACGTGACAGCTGTAGTCCAGAAAAAAGACTGATGCTAAAGGGGGCCTTATGCATTTTAAAGCTCCTTTCCTCTCCAAAATGTTTAGGGTTTTTTTTTCCCCCAGTGCAATTTTTGTAATTATTGTGGCAGACTGTTTATAATTCAGAGAATTTCAGTCTTGGCAGTAACTTATGGTAGTTTCAGCCATGGGACAAGTTACCAAAAATCTAACGTAGTGTACCTTTAACATAACGATGCAAAGTCCATGGAAGCAAAAACCAATCTGTGGTTGGCTTAGAGTGTGTTGGTCCCATGTGGCGAGTGTCCAGTATCAAACATGTGAGGCATTAGATAGTCCTCATACTGTCCATCGATCAGCTTTGCTGCATTGTTCCTGGCAAACCAACAGTCCACACTCTGTGTCCCACTCAGTATTTTCCTGGTCTTCTGCACGACTGGGACTGTGCGCTCTTTGACCTTCAAGACTGTAGAGGGCGCCATGTCAGCTCCAGACTGAGCAAGGCCAACTTCTTCATAAAGGAACTGACCTGGAAACCAAGGTGGGATTTCATTATAGAGAAGCGGGCTCTTTTTGCCTTTGCTATAATCAAAGCCCCCTTCAAAGCCCAACACTTTGGCAATCAGATGATTGCAGATATGTGTTCTTACCTAATAGTCCATGGCAGTTGGGGGACAGCCCCTTGCTGTTGCCGATGTAGAAACCGAGATGGTCTTTCTGATACGGTGCTGGGTTCTTGTAGTGGTGCAGCAGAATAATAAAGCTTATGTTGTCTCCCACTGTTACAGTTACGTTGGACTTCCCCACAATGGCCACTGTCAAGACCCCACTCGTCACTGTGACAGTGGATTGACAGCCCAAAACCATGCGGTCTTTGCCATCCAAAATCACTTTCTTTGGAGTCACTTCGATGTAAGCTCGTTTGGGGTGGTCTACTACAATTGTTATTGTGTTGAAATATGTTCGGAGCTGCTTGTGGCTGCCTGGAGGTGCTGGGGCGCCAATTAGCTTTCCATTTACTGTGACACCTGAAATGTAAACAGTAGAGGGCAACACTTGGTGTACAGGTAGACTTCACAAGGGGCATTTCATATATGACTTTCATTTTCAAATATAAACTACTGTTTTAACTTGTTAAGTATGATTGAAGGTTTTACAGTGTAACATTTGTCAAGCAAAACATCTGCCATAAAAACATACCAGAATTCTTGTGATCCGAAACAAGACTCAGGATGTGACCGGGCTCCCCATTAATGTTAAAGCACACGGTCAGTTTGCTGAGCGGAATCTCCACCACAAAGTGGGGGTCACCATCAGCTGTAAGTACATAAGACACAGGTCACAACTTGAACATTCTATCAAATTCATTTAAATGTGTTTTTAAACAAACTTCTTTGCTGTGGCACCAATGTCTAGAACAAAATAGCGTATACAAATATTGTATACAATATTGTGAGAACCAACAGAAATGAAAAGAGAAGTGATGAGGCAAGAGATGATAGAGTAAGCATAATGACAGGGTCATTAGTGTTCGCTAACTGCCTCAGTTGGGGTGCTTCTCTTTGCTGTAACACAAACTCGGTTCCTGTGCTCTTGCATGTGTAAAGTACCACTTTGTGTCTTTGTAGGTATTTCAATTAGACCTTGTGTGTTCTTCCTTTTTCCAGGTCGTGTTCAGAGTATTCCCTGAGCTGTTTGTTCACACTGTCTGTGTGATCACCTCTGTCTACGCAAGCATCTAAATTACAGACCTTCAAGTATAAAGGAAAAAGAGGGCACTTTACATTCCCACTATCACAAGAAATCGAGCTTAATCATTAACTGGTATTATATAGAATAACAAGATATAGCATTGAAAAACACACCTGATGTTTTGGAAATTGTTATTGGTTTCTTGAGTAGGGTGTTACCTAAAAAAGAACAGAAACATTTTGGTTGTCAAATAAGACTTTTGCTTGTATTTGTGAAATCACTTGGTAATGTGTGCTTCAAACAAGCAGGAGCTCACCAACAGCATTGCTCTTTGAAGAGGAGCCAGTCGACCTTTGGTCAGCTTTCTGTGGTTGTCCATCCTCTGCGTCCTCTGGCAGACTGTTGGCAGCTGAATCCTCTCCCACTGGAGCTGGGGAGACTGTGGGTGCAGGTGCCATGGTCCCATCAGGCTGGACCTCAGGCTTCTCCACCACCAGGTTAGTGAGTGGTGTGAGGAAGTTGTACGTCAAGGACAGGTTGGAGGCCTGCTTCATGTGTTCTTCTCTCTCTCTGCTTGTCTTACTCGTCAGCCTTGCCCGAAGACCATCTTTAACACTGAGGAAACCCCACACACGCTCAGTAAAATCTTCAGCAATTGCCCCCAGAGCTACATCCCATCTGTAGGAGCTGATGGAGGATGAAGCCTGCCTCCCGCCCGTCAGAGAGGACGTGGCTGCATGCACATGCTTCTCTGTTTCCGTTTGACGGTGGCGTAAGGGCACGTCTGTCTCTAGCAAGATGCTCTTGTCATTGTTGGAGGCTGTGACCTGCACATGCAGGGACTCCGCACTTTTGTTTGTCAGCTTTCCAGCTACGACAATCTCAGAGCCATTGAAGTAGTTGGTGAACACATGCTGTGTCACGTACTGCACTGAATCCTCTGTGTAGTTGATTCGTATGTCAGACAGGAGAGGGGTTCCTATTTCATCATAGAACCTGGTTACAACACAAAATAAATAACTTTAGACACAGAAGGACAATTGTTTTGTAAGTCAGTATTATGATGCTTAACTTCTTAACAATACCAACTATGTTTAGTTACTTTGCAGTTAAGATAGGAGCATGACACCATACCTTGAAAATTATACCTTCCATTTTTTACAAGAGAATTTCCAGGGAAGGGGGGGAAACACAAGTTTCCCAATATACAGTCAAAGTAACACAAGCACAAAGTAACACAGATGCTTGCACTACAGATATTGCTACATCTTACTGCCCTTTATAAAGTCACTTTACTGCCCATCATAACGTCACTTTACTGCTGTCACCTTATTGCACTGCTTACTGCATATTGTATATAGTAATTGTAATCGTAAAAATTCTATTTTAAATGTCATACCTTAGAAGCGTATGCTGATTTTTATTATGCCTACTCTATTCTTTACCTCTATTGCACCGAGCAAAAGCAATTTCCTAGTCTGTGACTTTCTGTTACTTACATTGCAATGATCATGACAATAAACCTGTGGACACTGGACAGCCATTCAGTATGTTGTCACATGCAGCTTTTACACAATGCAGTGTAGAAATTGGGGATGAAGTCATTTGTCTTTCCTCGGACACAACAAAGCTGACCTTTGGTGAACTAGTTCACCCTCAACCCAACGAGTTACGGTCACCCAGATCCTTGTGAAAAAGGCACTTTTTAGAGCCAACATCACTCAATCATACCTATCCTTGGTTGAACCCGGGGATGTTATTCTATCCTTCAATAATGGGCCTTTCATTATTGACATTGTGACTACATTTTTGATGGATGTTGTTTCTGGTTGTGATCTTACGTGTCCGAACCCACTGAGTTTGTCACTACACTTGAAGGTTTGTGCACACATTCTTACACACACATGTATTCATGTTTTGAGAGCCCATGTCCTGCTCCATGTTTTTGTATGGCAGTAAACCTCCTCACCTCTTAACCAGCCTGTTTGCTTAAGCCAAAGGAGGCCTATTATCAGTGCAGGCTAACCTCTCAGACATAGGTATTACAACACACACACATTCCAGCAACTGAACAAACACCTTGTGTGTCCAGATGCGGAAGAGGGATGTAGGGAGAGGAGAGGCCAGTCTGGAAAGGACAGAAGAAAGGTGGTCTGTACCAAACAGAGGGAGGCTGTGACAGGCTTCAGCTGATTAAAGACCTCTGTTGTCAGCACCGTCACATTTCTGCTCTTCGTTTCTTTATAACGTGATGACAGACATAAGCTTATTTCACACAAGAGAAAGGAGGTATTTAGGAAAGCCTAATAGTCTAATCAGAATGGATTACACGAGAAATGATCACCAATTTAAATCAAACAGTATAAGAAAATAAATCGTTTTTTTTTTCTAATTTAAAGCATTCCCCGAAACGGTAAAGTGGTCGACTTGGTATAAATAACTGTCTGAAATGATTAGAAATGACTCTACCCTTTGAGCATGGCGGTAGCATCTGCGTCTTCGCTTATTCTTCTCATCATGCCACAGTTCTCCAGAGCCATCCTGTCCAGCAGCCGGTAATCAACGTCATTTCCAATCCCAATGGTGAACACGCAGAACTTTTCCTGTACCGCGGTGCGAGTGTTTCCCAGTATTGTCCCGGACTGGACCTCTCCAACAGTGGGACGTCCGTCAGTCAGGAATATAATGAGAGATACACTGTTGGGGTTGGCCTCTGATGTAGAGAGGTACTCCTGAAGTAGAGAAGAGCCGGTCTCTATTGCACTGTTAATGTTGGTACCTGCAAAAAAAACAAAAAAAACATTATCCTTTTATATGAAATTGAATCTTGCAGTTGTAGTTTACTAGACCAAGGGATAAAAACCTGGTCATTTCTCACCTCCAGTGGGCGCAAGCGTGTAAATAAATTTCTTTGCATCTCTGACATTTAGTGGAGTGACCGGCACTAGGCGATTTCTCCACTCTTTGACTTTGTTGGAGAAGCTTATGAAATTAAAGTGATCGCCAGGACGTAGATCGCTCAAGATGGTAAATAGAGCATCTTTGGTCTGCAGAAGAAGATGAAGAAGAATGACAAAAAACAGTCGCGGTTTCAATGTTTTGTGACATTTAAAATCTGAATTTGTGTGTGGGTGTAGAAAAAGCTATAATTTGGCACTAAAGCAATTACAGTCGTCTATATGGGCGATATACAGAAAGATCAGGATTACATGCTGGCTGATCATAAAGACCGCTATTGTGAAGCCACATCAAAAATCCCTTGTTTGTGCGTCCGCGATAAGTGGGGAGAGGGATCAGGGGTCGAGGGGGCTGTTGTCTGGAACGTTCCATTACCCCATGCAAACTGACCTTCCATTCTCACAACACAGCCCTGTGTCCACGTCCAAAACTCTCTGCAAATCTGTTTTTTACTTTGGAATCTACCTCTCATGCAGCTGCACACATCACATGTGACTGGCCGAAAGGGATTTCCATGCTATTGCAAAGAGGAACGCTCTGATATTCCAGAGTGGGAGTGAGATAGCGGGCTATTGCATTACTGAATGAAGTCATTTTATGTCCTTCAGACACATGCTGCACACATTCACTGGACGATACACACACAACACTTTTCATTTAGATCTGACTGAAAAAGTGAGAGTGATCTGAGAGAGCTCTGGGTTCTGGATAAATGGTCTTAAAATGTGTTATTATTATCATTCCTTTTTATAGGTACATATTATAGTAAGGCAGTTTCTTTTTTTTAAACTCAATTTTCTCCCATTATGTGTGTCTTTAAAACAGATAAAATGTAAATCATAGACTAAAATAGTAATAAAGTAGAAAAAAATTGTAAAAACATAAAAACCAATAGACACAAACAAGGAGAAATAAAAAGAAAAGAAAAAGACCATGAACAAAAGACAATGAATATTTCTATAATTATATTTTTCTCTAGTATGACATCATAATCATTACACTTTATGACATAATAATGAAAAAAATTATATTTGCTTATTTATTCATCTTCTACAACAACATGTAGTGTCAATATTTGTAGGATTCTTCCAACTGCATCTTATTTTAGACTTTCATGTCCTGCTTTTTTTTAACCCCTTTTCCCTTTATATCTAGTTTTATTGTTATTACTAATATTATAAATGTATTATTATTTTTCATTATAAATTGTTGGGCACTTTCTCAAATGCATTACTGGTACAATGGGTCAGACCAAAACTACAGCTGTCGACAGTATCCCCAGACCAATACAATACAACACATACTAAACAAAAAATGATAACAATTGAGGAATGATGTGGTTTTACCTGTTTAATCTTGGTTCCGATCATGGACGCACTGGTGTCAATGACAAACACTACGTTCTTTGGAACAGCCGGAAGGTCTTTAGGTGCAAAGTAGTGGACAAAGTGGCCGTTCAACACCTGGCAAAAGTGCACACAGAACGAGCCGTGAGATCAGCTGCAGTATTAACATGTGATTTTCAAGATTTAAGGTTATCCTGAAGACAGACGCTGGATTTTGGCATAATAGTAGTGCAGGTGGCAGGAAGCCGACAGAATTAATGAGTAGCAGGTGGGTGGATGCAAGTGTAGCAGAGCTTTGGGAGTTGTGTCCAAGCTTCAGAATCACTCAGCTGTTTTCTCAGACGGAAAAAGTTGTTAAAAACGCTTTTATGGATGACATATCGACACTCACCTGAATGTCTCCGATTCCCAGCTCTCTTTCCACATCGTAGCGGACCACAAAGTCTCCGAGAACCCCGCTAGTAGTGATTTTGGCCTGTTGCACGATGTTGGGGCTAAACGTGATGCTACACACATTCTTCTCATTTTTGATCACAGTTGTTATGGGGGGCTCCAGTTTGGCTGCAGGAAAAGTAGGACATTTCATTACATTTAAAGAAATATGGTACAACATGTAAAACCACTTCTTAAAATCCACTTGTATTTTTTTTAACTGCCTGTTTTAAAGTCTACTGTATATGTATTTTACTTTTCCACACTGTCTTTGTTTTGTCTTTCTTTAATCTATTATCATTAAAGTTATATTTTTATGACTGTTATTTTTCTCTATGTTGACTGTTTGGCACTTTGTAAACACTTTTTTTTGAAAGAGCTATACAAATTTATTATTTATTATTATCACAGTTTTTTATGCTCTGAAAGTTAGGTCCCCAAAGATTTTTTACTGAGCATTGGGTGTCTCTGGTATGACTTTTTTTGAGATGGATAGGATCAGAATGATTATTAATACGAGTTCCTTTAATTGTCCCATGGTTGGGAAATTTCAGTGTTGCATCGCAAGTTACAGAAAGAATGAGGAGCACACAGCACAACACAAGATAAGTACAAATCCATACTTTAAAAACAAATCTCCATCTTTAGCTTTATAAAGAAACAAAAACTGAATACTCTTATATAAGAAATGTATTGTATGTAAACATCTGCAGATACATCTTTAATACACTCTAGTTCAGGGATGTCAAACACATTTTTGTCGGGGCTAAAACATCTGAGCTGGTTGGGGCTAGAATTATTACTGGAAAAAGCATTTTTCTTTATAAACATGTTTTTTATTGCTTTCAACAATTGAACTATATTTAACATGAGTTTGGCAATACATTTCTAGTTTGGATTCAACCACAATTTAAAATTAAAAAACAACAACTATAACTTCTACTTACATTTCAGTAAACATAGAACACATATGATGATATGGTTGTTGAGATAATTGGCTTTTAAATTAACTATAACATGCTATAGTTTCCCATCACCATCAATGCTGCAAGTTACTGTGATAATGATAGTTGAAAATCATTTCACGGGCCACTAAAAATAGTCTCGCGGGAGAAGATTGGAACACAGGCCTGAGTTTGACATGCCTGCTGTAGATCAAGCATATTAGTCTAGTTGTAGTGAGTCAGTAGCTCTGAGGGTTCACAGTGATGATACTACTGCACATGTTACCAGCATCTGAGCTTAAAGAGACTAATTAAAGTGACAGTGGACACCCGTTTCTAAAATGATTGCACATTTTTGCACAGAGGAATGAGAAAACAGAAAGCTCATGTTTATAGCCAAAAGTTGCTGCTGTTGCTTCTAGGCTAGGCTCTGCTATATTTACCTCTCTATGCACTTTCTATACCAGTGTGTAAGCAAACCAAGGGAAGGGAAGGACACATTCATTTCTAAAGAGAATATCTTGTTTCAATACTAATTTTAGTTTTAGTTATTTATTTTCGATACTTTTGACATCGCTGTTACTGAAACCAAATAACCCTGGAAGTCTAGCCACTACCAACAATATTTTTGTATAGTTTTGATAATATGAACAGTTGAATGGCCCAAAAATTCCTAATCAGAAATATTACTAATCAACCCTACTCTGCACTCCCATATCACCTCCTGTCTCGGTCCAATCCATGACATGACATAACTCCGCATTCAAAACGCCCCTTTCTGCAGCTCTGCACAACCGATACAATTAAACAATTCCGCTCCTCTCCTGATCTTGAAAAATAAATCAAAGTAACTCCCTTTTCTCTGGTTGTGAGGGGCAATTTCAGTCCCTTTACTGGTCTTGGTTAATATCAGGCATCAGCAGATATGGAAAAGAAAAGTATTTGGATTGGAAATTAAAAAAGACTGAATTGGAGCATCCTTTCCATTAGCCTTTCCAGGTTTAATCAAGTTGCATGAAGTAAAAATAAAAAGAAGACCACACAAAAGGAAAGGCAGATGTTATGTGGTACAGAAAACAGGTGTCTAACAAATAAATGTGTAACCTGCAGTTTTTGGTGCAGCAGTGATGCCCTTTCCATTGCGCAGAGGGAGGACTTCCAGATGCCCGATGCGGGAGTGGTCCACGATGGTGATGTCTAAACTCAGGCGACTGACCAACTGCATGGGCCGAATGCTCGTCACGTGTTCATAGCGACCCAATCGTCTCTGGAGAAGCTCTTCATATGTGAGGAAGAAAATGGCACGATTTCGACCCGGGATCTTGACTGCCATTCGAAATACTTCCAGATCAGACTCATTACTAGGGCACAGGAAAATGATAATCAACGTCTCAATGTAAGTAAATACATAGTAATGGATACACTGTAAAAAGTGATAAGAAATTAGACAAAAAATGGCAAAATGTATCTTAATTTGAGCAATTTTTTACTAACCCTAACCCTAAAAAGGATAAAATATTATAATTTTTTTCAGTGCAGGTATAATTAGTTTAATTATTTTGTATGTTATAACATCGCAAGTTGGAGCATTAAATGAGAACAGAACTAAAGAATTACCTCCAATATAATTCAGGGTTGGGCAATTATTTTCTCCGGGGGCCACATTGGGACTATTGGTGTCGGTATATAGTGGAGGGCCGAACACATTTAATCAACACATCTAAGATAAGATAATTCAAGATCATACTTTATAGCTCTCACAATGGAGGAATGTAAACTACTTCCATAAAAAAAAAAAAAAATAGAAAAACTATGTCAATGTTATCTTTGTGTTTGTGTGAACCGTGTTGCCTCATCAAGAAATGTATTCCTTGTTTTTTTTATTAAATATGGATTATCTTTTTAAGATGTCTATAGATTTGAATTCCTGCATGGATTGAACCAATGCTGGACTATAGAAATAGAAGGCAAGGTCTTGTGGACAGATAAATTGTTTTGATGAATTATTATGCGGTATAATATGCCATTGCAGCACTCATTAAGTAAGTAAGTAAGTAATCTTTATTTATATACCGCCTTTCACAGACCAGAGTCACAAAGCGGTTTACAATTGTTATTTTTGGGCGCATGCCAATCCTATTATACATATTTTTAGTGGTAGGGGAAACCGGAGTACCCGGAGGAAACCTACGCAGACACGGGGAGAACATGCAAACTCCACTCAGAAAGGCCCTGGTCCGGCCGGGATTCGAACCCAGGACCTTCTTGCTGAGAGGCGAGAGTGCTATCCACTCAGCCACCGTGCCGCCCACAAATAAGTCACAAACCTTCATTGAGTATGGAGTCCCATTCATTTAAATAGGGGGAGAGACGGTATACAGTTTGCAGATGGGAAATGGTCTGAGGGCCACAAAGAAACCCTGGGCTGCACATTTCCCAGGTCTGCTTTAGCTTAAAAAATGGTTAGCATATTAAAAATAATTAATCATAAAAGAGTGTGTGTGTGTGGCTGGTGGTGATCGGATGGTCTGATATCACAGATATAAAGTACTCTACCCACATATAAAAAAAATATATTTTAGCAAACCTAATCAGTATTACATGTGTTTTTGCCCCCTAAAGTAATAAAAAACTTTATAATGTGTAAGCAAAGGAAGGTTTCTCACCCATCATCTGTACTTCTTAGCAAGTTTGCTAAGCAAGTTCTTAGCAAGTAGCAACTTGCTAAGAAGTACAGATGATGGGTGAGAAACCTTCCTTTGCTTTGACTAATCCCTGTACGACTGAGAGCTTACACAAATTTATAATGTGTAGTAAAAACAGTTTTCTCTCCAAGTTTCCTTTCTCTTTCTTATATAAATCACTTGCACTGTTTTTTAAATCAGTAACGGACTTGCACAATCCAATCAAATATCACAACTGGAATGATGTCACTTCTTCCACAAGTCAAGGAGATATGGCTCTTATCCCTGGAACCAGAGCAGCTTCATGCAGGTCCAGTTAAAATGACACTGAACTTCACAGATGACTGCTGGTGGTAAAAGGTTTCAGGTGGGATATGATCAGTTGTGCTTCAATTAGAGAGGCCAGACCGAGAGCAGTAGGCCAAGTAATAAAGACAAGGCGCCAGTGAGGAGGTGGGCGACCAGAGAGCAAAAACACAGTCACGCTTCACCTTTACCTTTTGTCACCCGAGTCCGTGCTTCTTGCTTTGTCGTTCTCCTGTTTAACCCTCTTCTCCTTGGCTTTAATCTCACTCTGGTAGACGCGACCTCCCACGATCCTGCATGGTAGGGGATAGATGTATTACCAGTGGTTTAGAAACTTTTCAGTCAGAGAATCCCAAAATATGTGTAAAATTTCACACCACACTTTCTGGACTAAGTGCAGAAGAAGAGAGATGTCTGAAAATAAAGTGCATTGCAAAGTCCAGATGAGACAAAATATGTGTGCATGAAAATTTCAAAATTATTAAAATACAGAAAAGGTTTTAGTGAAATCACTTTAGTCATATTTTACAGCTCCCATGTAAGTAAAATAACGTCATCCTTTCTCTTCTGTAGTTTGACAAGTTTAAGGGTCAGACATTTCATTTTGTGTCGAGGGGCTGCTGCATTCGTCTTAAAAAGTCAACTTCCACGCAAAAAGGAAAGGACCAAGAATGGAACCCTGGGGATCTCCATAGTACAAAGGACTGTCTCGACAGCTATGGCAGCACAGTCGGGTCATTCCTGAACTTGGTGAGCTTAGGTATATGATCAGGTGTGTTTATGTTCAGGTTGATGCTTGGGCCCCAGAGCACCCGCCACCCATATGTGAAATCAGGGCACTTACATGGTGAAATTGGAGATGTATGCGCCCGAGGGGATTGCATACTGAAAGACGCCCTCTGCAGCAGCGGAGTGGCGGTTCAGCATGGCACAGTGCACCGCAGTGAAGGCATATCGTGAAATGATAGTGGTCTTTATGGAGAGCTCTTGAATGTGAGGTTTGCTCTCCTGCAAAAGAGGCACACATTATTCCCACACAATCTAATGTCACCAAGTAATTAGGAATCCAGGATCAATGTCAAAGTTGATCCTGGACCCTAACCCAATGACCCCTGATTGTTTGGCTATAACATTGATCTAGGGCAAACAACTTTGACATTAATCTTGGACCCTTAAGATATCAGACAAGACGCACACACCCTTCAAGTCCTATAGTGTTAAAAATTGCAACATTTATTATGAATCCCATGTCCTTCCAACAAACTAAAATATTGCAAGCAAATTACATAGATGACAATATCCTATGACTAAGACTCTGGCACATCTTTGCACCCTTGGCGGACTCCAACACACCCCACCCAACACTTCATACTTTGTAAAATAAAATAAAACTATCAACTTTTTATACAACTCCCTATAGGAGGGCTTACTTTTGTTAAAATGGTCTTGACTTGTCTTGGGACTCTCCTTGGAGCCTGGAGACAGAAATAAAGCTGAGAAAACTATATGGAAAGTAGATTATAATTAAAATAAATCCTTTTGCTTACAAGTCCCAAGTCAAAGTCAGTAAGGTCCAGATCTTCATCAAACACGATGTCCCGCTCCCCTGCAGCCACCAGAAAACAAAAAACAACAGAAGTAAAACGGAACATATTCAAGAGCTTATCCTCCAAATTGAAGAAGCTAAATGGGGCATGTCAAGCCTTGTGCGTCTATAGAGTGACCAAAGGGACTGTGGAGTGGGGAGTACGCCCACCCGCCGAAGAGGGATGCGCTGTTCTTCGGATAACCAGGCTGCTGCTGCTTCTAAACAGCCATTAATACATGCAAAGGTGAAAAGAGGCGCTCTGTTTGGGTTAATAGAATTGGTGGATCACTTTACCTAGATCTAATGCTCATCTAAAGCAATGCAATTCCACTCTTTTCTATAAAGCACAGCAAAAAAGCAAAAGCAAACATAACAAAAAAGTAAATAGAGGGGTAAAAAAAAAAACATTTTATTTACTTCATTATTATCATTATTGCGCTAACAGTCAAGGATCATGTTGCCCCCTAGTGGTCAAATTCTAGACCTACAACAAGCGCAGATGTTCTTTCGTCACGTCGTGCATGCTACTCAGTTACATGTCAGTTAAGGTTAAGGTATACTTTATAGTTCCCGTAGGACACATTTGTCCTCTGCATTGGACCCGTCCTACACTTCCCCAGTGTTTGTGGAAATGCAGCCAACCACATGTGCTCTAATGAAGCGGGCTAAACGCAAACTCCACACAAACTGTTCTTACTCCATGTTTGACATTACATTAAACCACATAAACTACAGTTTGTTTTCCGTTGATGCAGGAATGGCTCATTTATCAGCTGTACAGGTCAAGTTTCAAAGTGTCGTGCTTCTTCGTGGGTTGTATGAAACATCACAAATATTGACTGGGCTGAGAGTCAACCAACTCAGTGTATTTTGACCTCTCACAGGCTTCCACAGGGCTTCCTGTATAGGACTGTCTGAACAGCAGCATGAAGCTTCCACCATCACTGCTGATATTTGGGCTCCTGTTTCTTCAACAAAATTATGGATTTGAATTTGTTATAGATGGGGAATGGGAGGAAGATATGGTAAGTATTTTCACACTGTTTTTGATGACCAAAATCTGCATGTGCCATTGCCACCCTCTGTGATTCCAATAAGCTTTGTGATTAATATAGTGATTACTTTATATTTTGTTTTAGCCATCAGATTTGAGACAACATGAGAGACAAAAGGTAGGATTGTTCCGGATGATTTATGTAAAACAAAAACATATATATACATTTGTTTTAAATCCATGGTACCGTTCATTAAAACCAGATAAAGCTGAAATGTACAAGCATTTATGTTTCAGAGAGCCATTTTGACGAGTGAAGAGCAGGAAGACTTTGAGGTATGACCCCTTCCACTGTGGCAGAGTTTATGCTTATCTAGAAATCAATGTGTGTATTTTTGACAACAATCTCATGACTGTTCCTTCGGCTATTGACTCTTCCTGTGACATTTTTCCAAAAAAAATGCATATTTGTCAAATGAACACATTTAGACAACAAAACAATGTCCTAGCCTCATAACCAATGTTGGTCTGTGATTTACTCTTTCCATAGGTCGTCAGCGGTGATGACATCACTATTAAAAGTTACAGAGTCGAGAGCCATGTTACGTCACGGTTTGCTCATACCACAGTCAGAAGTCATGTGGTCAACACTGGGGCCAAAGCCCAGAGTATCGGCTTCAACGTCCAGATCCCTAAAAGAGCTTTCATCTCTAACTTCACCATGTGGGTCCAATCACGTTGCACTTTCATGAGTTTGACTTGCGACTTATTTGTCCCTCTCACTGCAGGAACGTGAATGGAATTGTTTTCAAGGGCTCAGTTAAAGAAAAGACAGTAGCAAGAAACCTTTACGCACAAGCCAGAGCCAAAGGCAAAGCAGCTGGAATTGTCAGGTACATAAAACACAGAGTTTATATATATCATATTTAATGTCATATTTAAAATACAGTAAATGCTGGTCATAGGGCCAACTCTCAGGATATGGAAACTTTTAAAACAGAGGTCCATGTGCCACCTGGAAGTAACATTGAATTTGAGCTTCATTATCAAGAAATGATGCAACGCAAACTGGGCATCTACGAGCATCAGCTGCACCTGCAGCCGGGTAGACTGGTGCCAAACTTTCAGGTAAAAGGAAAACCTTTTTGTGTTGTCATTAATTATAAATGCACACATCATTGTTAACATTTTGCTCTAGGTGGACGTCTACATATTTGAACCGAAGGGAATTTCAAAAGTAGAAACAACAGACACTCTTGGTGGTCATTTTACAGACCTTATCAAAGTCACTACCACTGGCGAAAAGGTAAGCCCATAGTCTCTTCAGGTTGAGGATACATTTTGAACGGATGGTAACATTTCTTGCCAGGCTCACATAGTCTTCAAACCCAGCCTGCAACAGCAGAGGAAGTGCAGCAACTGCACTACGAGTGCTGTAGACGGTGTTCTCAACGTTAGATATGATGTGAACAGAGACAACAACGGAGAACTTCAGGTTAGTCATGATACATATTCTAAGAAAAGCGTGTTTCTTATTGACTTTCATCCTTATAGGTGTCAGATGGCCACTTTGTTCAATTCTTTGCACCATCAAACCTCTCCCCTCTTCCAAAAAACATTGTTTTTGTGATTGATGTCAGTGGTTCCATGTGGGGGGTCAAAATGAAGCAAGTAAGTGGTTGTTCTAGTGTTTTGTTGTTGATACATACTGACACCAAGTAGCTGTTGAGTAGGAAACATATAATCTTTGATTATTTATTTTCACCAGACGGTTGAAGCAATGCAAGCTATTCTAGATGACCTGACCATTGATGACCATTTCAGTGTCATTGACTTTAACCACAATGTACGATGCTGGAGTGAGGACCTAGTTCCTGGCTCAAGTATACAGGTTGCAGATGCCAAGAAATATATCCAGGACATCAAGCCCAATGGAGGTATGATGAGGTGTTTCCCTCATCTTTGCTTAAGCCACAGCATCATGGCTTTATGTATGTGTCCAGGTACAAACATCAATGAAGCCTTGATGAGGGCGGTGCAGATTCTAGTAAGAGCCTCCAACCAGGGGCTTTTAGACCCCCGCTCTGTGTCCATGATCATACTGGTGTCTGATGGAGACCCTACAGTGGGTGAGACACACTCCTCAACATTTAATTTTTCATTCATGTTACGTATCAAATATAATGGAGTTGTCTTTGCAGGAGAGATAAAACTCAGTACTATCCAGAAGAATGTGAAACGAATGATGAGAGAGGAGTTTTCACTGTTTTCTTTGGGTATTGGTTTTGATGTGGACTATGACTTCCTGGAGAGAATTGCCATGGAAAACCGAGGAACGGCACAGAGAATCTTTGCAAATCACAACGCTGCAGACCAACTACGAGTACGTGACTCATTCAAGAAAACAATTTGATTTGTATTTCCCTCGACTGTATGTGTAAATATCGTCTTGTATCCGCACAAGGCCTTCTACAGGCAAGTGTCTGCTCCGCTCCTGAGACGCATCACCATTCAGTTCCCAGAAGATTCGGTCTCTGACATCACCCAGAATCAGTTTGATAAATTCTTCAGTGGCTCTGAGCTGGTGGTGGCAGGAAAAGTACTTCCCTCAAACACAGACACCCTGACCAGCTTCACCACTGCCTCTGCTGTGAGTGGATTATTGATAACTGTACACGACATTCACACAACATTGGCTGAATTATAAAAGCCCAGTGATGCAGTGTATGTAAGGTTCTACATAATTGTGCATAAATCAACCATTCAACATGACACTCAAATTGTCTACCTGTTGCTTTTAAAATGCCATACTAAACAATGCTAACATTAACTCATTGACTGCCATATTTGCCTGAGACTGGTGATTTCTGTCAAACTTCCCTCCATTTGACTTGGGATTATAGGACAATAAAAATAGCTAAAAACAAACTTATTTTTGCTGATGAAAATAGACAATCCAGTCTTTCAGAATCTGGTTTCATATCTAACATAGTCATAGAACAGTATATTCTGTGGGTCTTGGCAATCAGTGAAACCATCAAAAACGGCTGTCAGTCAATGAGTTAAGAAAATACTATATTCAACATCCCTACCTTTATTTTTTTACAACAAGGCTCGTCTGGATCTCACTCTAGAGACGGAGGCAGACACTGAACTTGACGAGCGGCTAGCCAGGATACACCACTCTTTCCCAGGTTTTGCTCGACAGTTATGGGCTTACATTACTATCAAACAGCTGCTTGCCGAACGGTATGGACTTCTGTTATTATCATATCAGGTCCTTACTTCTGCATTGTATTCAAATGGCAACTCTGTGTCTAAACCGCAGAGCTTTGGCCCCAACAGCAGCAAAAAAGCGTAAGATCACTCAGAAGATCCTGTCTCTGGGAGTGGAGCATCAGTTTGTCACTCCGCTCACAGCTTTACTTGTGGAAAGTGAAGAGACAAATGAGAGATTTTTGGCTGATTCCCCAAAAGATGCCAAACATGGCTGCTGCCCAGGTCGCAAAGCCAAAATCCAAACCCATAGCAGTCTTCTTTTAAGTTTTCATTTCACACGGGCTGGTTTTTTGCAGGTGGAGGTGTAACTCCAGTGACTTTGGTCTATCAGCATCCCCCCTGGGTCCAGACGAGCACTCAGCCTCCTCCCAGCCATTTCAACAAGGGACCAGAAGTGTGGGCCTTACCTCAGCAGGTCAATTTAGGTAAATGTGAATCTGTGCAATGTAAAATGGTTACAACAAAACCCTAAATGTCCTGTGTTGTTCTTCCCAGTGGATAATGATCCCCACTTTATAATCCATCTGCCACAACGCAATATGGATGTATGCTTCAACATAGACTCCAAACCAGGCCATATCCTCAATCTACTGTCTGACAGTGGCACAGGTACAGAGTGGGCCTAGCATGTGCATACACTCCATTAGAAATATTATCTCCCAGAGCAGTACATTTGTCATGTAATTACTCGGCTTGTGTACATTTATGCTCTTCATAACTTTGGGAGTTTTTTGTAGTTTAAGTAATTTTTATTTTTCATGAAATTATCTTTTATTTTTTAATTGTGGGTATAGTTCTACTTTTAACTGCCAGAGCAGTCACTTTCTATGGAGGTAAAACTTTTCTCAAGGTGCTCGTCCTGGACTGGTCTTGGACTGGTTCAGAACAAACTCAGCTTGGAGCAAGTGCTAGTTACCATAGCAACACACTTACGGTAGTTGCATTTTGTAGCTTTTTAATAAACACATTTAAAAAAAAACTTTACTTCAAGTAATATTCACCAGTTTTCGCAACTATTACAAATTCAAAACAGTATAAATTGCCTTATTTTAATAATAGTGGAGAAAGTAGGGATATTTGTTAAATTTCTATAGATTTGAATGGGAGCCGTCGAAATGACTGCTCAGGGAGTTCTCATAGTTTCAGAATTCTTGGAATCCTAGTGTTAATTGATGTTCATTTGTTGTATTATTTTCTACAGGCGTTGTCGTGAACGGTCAGCTCATTGGCTCAAAGAAACTGCACAAAAACAAACTCAACACTTACTTTGGGTCCATCTCAGTGTACTCGCAGCCCGAGGGGGTCAGCGTCACCGCCAGCACCGACAACATCACATTCACAGACGAAAGAAACAGCCACGTCTTTTCCTGGGACGCCACTGCAGACATTACTCAGGATGGGTGGGTTTATATCACTCTCGCACACTCCTAGACTATTGTTTGTTCCATCCATGTCCTTAATACATTTGTTTTTCAGTGTGAGGATACATATTCAAAAGGAATCCAATGTGACTATCGCCATTAATGGGAATATTCAAGTTTCAGTATTGCTTCACCGGATCTGGAAAAAACATCCAGTTAATGTCGACTTCCTTGGGATCTACATTCCTACAAACAACCAGTACTCGCCACTCGTCCACGGCCTCATAGGTGACAGCACACACTTGATGTAACGAGATACTAGCTCAGTGCAGCACAGTGTAAGAGCATATTTGGAGATACTGCAATTGAAAAAGGCAAACCATAGCTAAGAGAAGGATATGGATATAGGTATACAATCTATTGTTGATTGGGAATCGCATTTGTTTTATAAATGGTGAACATGAAAGGATAAAATGGTCAGAGACATTATGAGCACTGAGCAGCTGTGATGATGGACTGCAGAGGGGACAGTTGTGGACCATGAGCAGCTCAGTATCAGTGTTGCCAGTATCACGAGTGTTGCCAGATCTAAATAAGGTCAAGAACAGGCCTAAGACAGTGTTACTATAGCGTCAAATCATAGACACAATAAATCTATATATACAGGTTTAAGCTTAGTTTGTTTAAGAATAATAATATATACAAAAATTTATGAAAACACCAAGATCTGAATAAAAATAGGACCTATTTTCAGTTCATTTTAATATGCTACAATTACAATCCAAACCATGTGTTGCCAGTTCAGAGCGACATATGGTGTAGAGCAGACAATGATTAATGTGCTGCAGCTGAGTTCAGTGGGTTAGGGTGAGTCTCGCCCAAAAAACTGGCAACCCCCATCTGAGACGCATTCTGCTCTCTGACTGGATAATCTGCTAATGAAATGTTGACATAAAAAGTAGTAATGATATACATTTATTAAAAAGAAGAAATCAGAGTAAACGTTTCGATCAGCTGAGGCCAAATATGATAATGTTGACCTTGTGTCCAGGGACAGATAAAGATTCAAAACCCGTGCTTACTGCCCCTCTAATTTTACTTTTTGAATACTAACTATCTAAGCAAACAAATAAAAGGTATCTCTAGATTAATTCTGGCGTATGTAATCTCTACTCTTCTAACAGGGCAGTTTTCCAGAGAACCTGACGTAAGAGTGTATGACATTCATGAAGGATCAGACCCTCTAAAGAACGAGGCTACGATGGAAGTGAAAGGTCACCAAATTCCAGTTACTAGGTAAATATAAAATACGAAATAGTTACAAAAGACATGATAAAATTGTATTATTACAATAAACGGATGTACTGTGTGAACCAGGGGCTGGCAGAAGGACTACAGGACTGAAAAGAAACGCGGCTCAAACATCTACTGCTGGTTTGTGCACAACAGCGGGAAAGGATTTATCGATGGGCACTACACGGATTACATCGTCCCAGATATGAACAGTTCTCTGCAGATGATTTAAATCGTGTTACTGACCTTTTGTCATCTGTAATAAATTAAAAGAACACAAGAAATGCTCAGATATTATGAAAGAAAATGTAAGAAAGTAAGCACATACAAGAATAAGAATTAACAATTCCTTTATTAGGTAAGAAAAAAAAAAAAGAAAAAGTATTTTCCGATCAACAGCTAATACATAAATTATATACTAACTAGTTCCAAGTATTTGAGAAACATTGAGTAGTATTTAAAATATACAAATGAAGATTTGAGGCTGTAACTCTGACACAGTAGAGTCTGAGAACGTGGTGCATCAGACCATGTGTCATCAGGCCAGTTTGGAGAAATCCTCATAGGCGACGTTTTCTACTGTCCGCCCTTTCTGTGGACCCTGGAAGGAACATCAAGTTACTATATTAGCATAAAGATGACCCATATATTAGCGTTACATAATTGGATCCCAGGAGTAGTGGTTTCCATGAAAAGACGACAGCAACTTACCGAGTCAAGCGTTAGTGTTGCACTGAAGTTCTTCTCGTGTATACCCTCCAATGTAGCCTCTGTGAGTCTATATTGACCATTTAAAATCAAAACCTTTTTGCCTGCAGAATTACAAAATCAAATTAGACAAATTCAGACATTTGAAACTTCCTCAAGAAATTACCCGGTGCCGGTATGACAGTCTCAACATGATTTTGGTCCAGTTTTAATTTATCTCCAGAGTCGACCATCTTTACCAGAGCGGTGTATTTATCGTTCACTTCCTGTAGAGTAAATATCTTTATAAGTAGCAGCACAGTTAGACACATGTAAATGAAACCGTGCTGATAAATCTCACCACCACAACAGCCTTCTTCTTGTGATACCGGTCTCCTAGTTTTTTAGTAACAACTTTGACAATGATGTTTGGTTGTAGCCAGTAGTCTGTTTTGATTGGTTCCCGTTTCTGTCTCCTTCGCTCTTCCATCTGGGGAAAAAAACCAGTTAGTTTAAGTAAATAATTTCTTGCAGTAAAAGTTTGATGTAAGACTCAACCTCTTTGATCTCTTCAAGAGCAGATTTTTTCCTCTTTCCTTCCTTAGAACTTGCGCTTGAAGAAATGTCTTTTCTTTTAGTAGAAGCTGCTGCTTTCAATGCACTTGCGCCCAGTAAAGAACTACAGCAATATTGGGAAATTATGAATAAAATAGACATAGTGTAACTACTAAAAACGAAATGCAGATTAAAAAGATGACTGACCTTGACGGTCCAGCAACAGACGAAGCGGCACCAAGGTTAAATACAACTATGCAAAACAATAACATTAAGTTTAAGGTACATACTGTAAGTAAAATAAGCAGCATAAAAATTAAAGTCAAACCTTTCTCCTCCTCAGTCTCTCTTTTAAGCTCAGTGTAACCTGGTGTTTCCTGACAATAAAAAACATTACACATAAACAAACCAATTTTAATGTATAAGTATGTATATTTTTTTTTAAACTAAGAGAAGACATTCACCTCCTCTTCCTCTTTGCCTCCACGGCCTCTTCGGACCTGCTCCTCTATAAAACGTGCACTCCGCTCTTCATCGTCCAAGTCATGCTTTTTCTTGCGAGCCAGTTCCTCTTGGCGCCGAATAGTCTCTGGATCGCGGTCAATGTATTGGATGTACCAGCCTTTAGGAGTTTCGTCCACTTTACACAACCCTGGAAAAGGCCAATCCACGTTAGTAATGTTGGGTAAAACACTGAATAGTAAGAAAGGGCTACAATGTGCAATAGCAGTTGTATTTCAAAGGTATTTCTCACCTTCTCTTCCCAACCATTTGGTAAATTCGGTTAGAGTTTCCCATCGTGTGGAGTTCATGTGGATGTGCTCTCGGTGGCTGATGTACTCATTATATACAATGTTGTTATGCACACGCTTAGTTCCTAAAGAAATGTGAAATAATTACATGCAGATCAAATCCAATGCATACAAACCAATCCAGAATCAGCATGAACGTACCAAATCGTCTTCTGAGAAGCTCCACAAAATCCTGTTTGAACTCACTGAAAAAGTAAGTTAGTAATCAATACATGGGCATGTGGGATTGTTTTTAATGGACTTTATGTCACGTGATTTGTTTCAAAAATGTGTTTTAAAAAATAAAGTTTGGCATAACCTAAATGGGATTAAGTATATTATGATGTTTGATATGAGTCTTGAATTTTGTTACACACAAAAAAGATCACCAAATGAAACATATAAAATCTAAAAAAAATTTAAAAATACATATTGCCTTAGGTTGTCCACAGCACTGTAGCGTTACAACTTACTTTGAAAAGCTGTCCATAAACTTACGAGGATTTTCTGAAGCCAACAGCAGCTGCCTCTGGTGGGACTCTGACATGCAGTGACATTTGAAACCATTCTATAGAAGAATGATAAACATAATATATCGAGAGAAAACAACTTTGCAAAGAAGTCATGAGAGTGGCTTACCTCATCTCTGCATTGTTTTTGGCACATCTGACAATACCATCTCAGTTTCTGTAGACCCTTGGCTTTTATTCGATTACCAATTGCTTTTGGTGAGAGGAAATCCGCTTTTTTCCCCATCTCGACAAATTACTCAACCAACTCTTGACACAATTCGTAATAAAACAGCTAGACTTTGGACATAAACAGCACTGCTTTTTGATTTTCAGTACCCCACGACAAGAGCCGCGTTTCCGCGTGTGAAAAACCCGAATCTCGCGATTACTAGGAAAACTCGCGAAAGATGGGGCCTTCAAGTACTACCAGGCATTTCCCTTTTAGTTTCTACTTTGTTGTTTGTTACATTAAATTAATTATAAAAAATATAAATACATCTACATAAAAGTATTATATTTATATTTTGTATTCTGTACAGTTATTAATCGCGTTTCTCTTTTTAAATAGGCATATACTTACATGCCCAATCACTTAAAATACGTAATGTCTTTGACTGCACCATACGTCCATTTTCCTTTTCTGCTGCGCCTGCGCACTTCTGCGTGTCTGACCTTCATTGGAGTAACCATGTTTGCCAGGACCAGCGCGCTGGTGTTCTCTCCACAATGGTAAAACTTAATCATCAACAAAGATAATCTTATTGTCCTGATGTGTTTCCTTTATTTTTTATCATGTTTCTGTCGTAGATGTGGGGACTTGGTGTCCCTGGCCTCTGTAGTCTGTGCAAGTGCACACAAGGACGTGCTAACACTGCTAACACTGCTAACACACAGGCCGATGCTAATGAATGACAGCGTTATTGAAGTGCTCTTGTCTTCAAGTGTGGAAATAATGTGTTAAAAGCTCACGTTGGACTGCCAACATGTTTGGTCTGCAGAGCATATAACCTGTTAAAACCAGGGGATTTATACATCTGATAATGGATAGATACAAGTAACTGCTTGTCAAATTCTTGTTTTGGCGAATTTAATTATTTAAATTTCGCAATATAATATTGTTTTTATCACACTGTCATTGCTGCATGTGAAATATATGACATGTGTATGTTTCTTTCCTCAGTGGGCAGGTCAGGAACATGGCTACCCTGAAGGACAGTAAGTTCTATCTAAATACTTGATCATTGTTGTTCTGCACAGAACGCGCACACATTTTTTAACGCCTCTGCCATGTTTCCCATAGCCTTGTTTCTATTTTAATCCAGAAAAAACTCTTGGAGCTGGGGTTTACTAAGTTTAACTTTGTATAATTTGTATTTTACTATTATGATACAAATGCTATGTATTTGCTGATAATTGTTTGGGAAGTAATAATCTTAATACTCTGGAACCTTAAGGAAATTGACCATGCTGTCAATTAATTATGAACATGCTTTTAATGTGCTCCTAATGTATAAATCTGATATCTTTCAACACAAAAATAAAGGAATATTTTAACATTATTCAAATGTCACTGATAGAATATCAAAAGGATTCACTAATTTGTTATTTAGACTCATTATTATTATTATTATTATTATTATTGCACTCGCCTTTTTGATTGGTTGGATTTTTGATGTTTCATCACTGTGATGTGGTAAGCTAAAGGTGTGTGTTTTGCCCCTAAAGTTACCATCAGGTTGAAGTCCATCAAGAACATCCAGAAAATCACCAAATCCATGAAGATGGTGGCTGCAGCAAAATATGCTCGTGCTGAGAGGCAGCTGAAGCCGGCCCGCGTCTATGGAACTGGTGCTTTGGGTAAGAGAACTTCATTTTACTCACATAATAACAATTTTATTCATTTGATTTGATATGCTTATTATTCCTTCCTAACTTTTCAGCTCTTTACGAGAAGGCTGAGATCAAGGCACCAGAAGAAAAGAACGCCAAGCATCTCATCATTGGCGTGACATCTGACCGTGGGCTCTGTGGTGCGATCCACTCTGGAGTGGCCAAGATGATCAAGCATGAAATCGCCGCCCTGACCGAAGTAGGCAAGGAGGTCATGGTGGTGAATGTGGGCGACAAGCTGCGTGGTATTCTGCATAGGTACGGCCTCTTGCTTTCTGAAAAGGACACATTTCATGCAAAATGTACATTTGGGCTTTATGACATGTTACACATTGTATTCTCATCAAAACCAAGCTGGCCTGGTTTTTATATTATTTTTATTATTTTCTTCTTCAAACATCAGTATTTATTAATTTTTTGCTGTTGAACTGCTTTCTGTACAACTGAATCAGAATCAGAATCATTTTTATTGCCACGTAAGTAACAGGAATTCACAGACTTGGAAATTGCTTTGGCTCAGTGCAACAGTCAAAAAGAGATAATAAAAATAAGAATAAAAAACATTTCTAAAGAATAAATTTAAATTTAAAATAGAGTTACAGTTACTATTTACAATATACAAGTGCACATGGTGCACACAATGTAAGGTGACAGCAGTACAGTGAAGTAAAGTGACGTATGATGGGCAGTAAAGTGACTTTATAAAGGGCGGGGGGACAGGTTAAGAAGTGTTCAAGAGTCCAACAGCAGAGGGGAAGAAACTGTTCTTGTGGCGGGAGGTTCTAGTCCTGATGGACCGCAGCCTCCTGCCTGAGGGGAGTGGTTGGAATAGTCCATGTGCAGGGTGAGAGGGGTCGGCTGTGATACGACCAGCCCGGCCTCGAGCTCGGGCGACGTACAGGTCCTGCAGCGATGGAAGGCTGCGGCCGATCACTTCCTCTGCAGAGCGCACAATGCGCTGTAGTCTCTGTTTGTCCCTGACTGTGGCTCCAGCGAACCACACGGTGATGGAGGAGGTGAGGATGGACTCGATGATGGCCGTGTAGAACTGCACCAACATCTGTGCAGGCAGCTTGGCTTTCCTGAGCTGCCGCAGGAAGTACATCCTCTGCTGGGCCTTCTTGATGAGGGAGCTGATGGTCGGCTCCCACTTGAGGTCCTGGGTGATGGTGGTGCCCAGGAAACGGAAGGACTCCACAGAGGTGATGGGGGAGTCCATCACGGAGGGTGGGGGCGGGGGGACAGTGCTCTTCCTGAAGTCCACAATCATCTCCACTGTCTTCTGGGCGTTCAGCTCCAGGTTGTGACCACTGCACCAGGACACCAGCCGGTCCACCTCCCTCCTGTAGGCGGACTCATCGTTGTTGGAGATGAGTCCAATGAGGGTGGTGTCGTCCGCGAACTTGATCAGCTTCACGGAGTCGTGGCTGGAGGTGCAGTGGTTGGTGTACAGGGAGAAGAGCAGGGGAGAAACAACACAGCCCTGTGGGGCTCCTGAAGTGCTTCTTAGTAAGCCATAGATTGATGGATTCAAAAGCAAATTTATTTAAGAGCATAATGTGTCTGGCTTAAACAAAAATGTATTTGTTCTCCTTAGAACTCATTCAAAGCACATTATGCTGAACTGTAAGGAGGTGGGTCGCAAGCCTCCCACCTTTAGTGATGCCTCAATTATTGCCTCTGAGCTGCTTAACTCTGGGTATGAGTTTGACGAAGGAGCTGTGATCTTCAACAGATTCAGGTAAAACTTTGGTTTGGGGTTGAATTATTTGTATAGTGTGTGTATATAATATATAATAAATTATAATATATAATATATATATATATATATATATTTATATATATAAATTTGTACTTTATTCTCACAGGTCTGTTATCTCTTATAAGACTGACAAAAAGCCATTGTTTTCAACGGACACTGTCGCAAATGCAGGTAAAATGCAGGTCATGTATTTAATGGTACGAGAAGCTGAAAAGTTGCACTCACTGAGGGTAAAGAGAAGCAAGTTAGTAACTTAGTTGGTAGAGCCTGTGCCCTCTGTTCCGAAGGTTGGTGGTTCGGGTCCCTCTGACATTAACCTCATTGGTTGAGTGGTCAGATTGACTGGCCCACAGATTAGCAGGTGTGAAACCAATTCCCATTGGACAAGCTTCAATGTGTCCTTGGGCAAGACACTAGTTTTGATGTGAACTAGTAAAAGAACTATATAATAATGACCCCCTTCACTCATGTTCCCTTTCATAGTTTTGTGTTTGCTTTATTTTTTTTTTTACTAAAGTGAAAATGAGTAGCACAAAGAAGTAATTCATTTTAGATGGGTAACACATGTTAAACTTTTGCAGAGACCATGGGCGTCTATGATGACATTGATGCTGATGTTCTGAGAAACTACCAAGAGTTTGCTCTCGTGAACATCATCTACCTGGCCCTGAGGGAGGGCTCCTGCAGCGAGCAGAGCGCCAGGATGACCGCCATGGACAGCGCCAGCAAGAACGCTTGTGAGATTTATATGTATTCTTTCTGTGAGTTTTCTTCTGGACTCTTTAACTGATGCCCATTTTGTTGTCACCAGCTGAAATGATCGACAAACTTACCCTGACTTTCAACCGCACCAGACAGGCGGTCATCACCAAGGAGCTCATCGAGATCATTTCTGGAGCTGCAGCTCTGTAAGTTTGACTTCAGTTGTATATTTCTATTACACATGCAACACAAATGCGTTGCGTTAATTACAAATGCACTTGCACATTTCTTTACACAATCACAATCCTCTTAAACTTTAAGAATATATATAGCTGGTGCTCCAATTACCTGATTGCAGCAGGAATCCCAAACTAGTCTGTTACCATGGCACCATGAATGCTTTATTCTCTTTCGAGCTTATCCAACTCTTTCTTAGGAACACTATTTCCATTTTCCTGTGTTGGTGTTAAAGTGAACATTTCTGATTATACCTTTTTTCTTATTTTTCCTTTATCTTTAAGTAATTGCTCTTAATTTGGCTTTCAATCTAATGTGTAAACTATCCTCTTTTCAAAACTAAGGAACTGATGCATGTCTATACTGAAGAGTAAGTTATTAGAATTAGAATGTGTTGTTTACAGTTTAGCAGAGTCAAACTGTAGATTCAGAAATTAGGCTTAGTTTACTATCCTGGATTTCCATCCCATTCTCTGCTCTTACACTTTTGTTTTTCTTACTTTGCAGATAAATGGGAGCAATCATTTCCAGTACCAAGTTCTCCCAGTGCTCCAGACCAGTCAGAAGTAAAATGTTAATGTGCTTCTCTTTGTAAAATATAAAGACAAATAAATCTTACAGAAAATGTCTCTTACATTGCAATGTATTTGGTTTACTAGGTCATAATAAATAAGTCTATTAAATGGTTTACTTGCCTTTTTTTTTTTTTCAAACTTGGTCTACTGCTTGTAAGTGGAAATTGCAAGTTTACACATACTGTTTTCAGATTCCATATATTTTTTTTTTTTTGCAGTTGGCGGTACGTTCACATTGGAATACATGGCCAAAAGTACCCTCGGTGTACCCCAGACAAGTACATAAGTTATACAATCTAAAGTACAATAAACTATTGCCACTGTGAAACAAACCAATCAACATTAACAACTTTTAATTTCCCAGTCTGAAATGTAAACTAAAAAGATATATTTGATTGTAACTTCAAAAAATTGCCTATAGAGCAATTTCAGCCCAATAGAAATATATTTTCACAATAAAATGGTCCTTTTATTTTATTTCAATCTTTACATTATGCTTATAGGACAACTGTGTGTGCATATTTGATTTTTAAATGATTTTACTGTTTTCCAATGGATTTGTTGCAATTGTTTTTTTTTAATTGTCCAGCACTTTGGAAACTTTCATAAAATGTGCTGTATAAAGTCGGATTGGATAAAATAACTCTTGATGATCGTACATTTCTACTATTTTCCACCAGATGGCGCCCGAACACTATTGGACCAAATACCATTCCCGTTTACCACTGCCGGCCCATCGATTAAACACGCTACACACAGTTTGAGATAAAGTTTGTCTTCACGGAGTGTTTTCGTAAATCCTAAAATCTGCGCACGGGTCCTACAGCGGCGCAGAGATGTGTCTCCAAAGTGTGTGGTCGTGCATCTGTCTGCTTGTGTCCTGCAGGCCTTGTTTGTCTATTGTATCTGTGCTTGTTATTGTTTACTCCTGAGGGGAACCACTGCGATTGGATCTGAACACTGAAATTACAGCGATGCTAGACTCTGATAAACGCCGCCTTCGCCTCCATCATCCCGACACACAACCCCACAGTCATGGACACGGCTGGGGAGAAGTCACCTTTTTAAACAGTTTGTATACAGCTCCTGTACTGGCAATTATCAAGATCAAACATTTCACAGCAGCGTTACTTACTGCCTTAGACCTGCGTTATTGGACACAAGTGTGAAACAATAGAACATTTCCGAGGTTAAGTTGGCTTGGAGGCTTAAATTTTCATGATTTCCCTCCTCAGACACTTCATTCTTAAAGTGCGTGGAGTTTTAACCCTTGTATTATGTTGGAAATGACCCGCAACATAATCAATGACATTGATTATGTTGCGGGTCATTTTGACCCGTACTGTGTAAATGCACTCAAAACAGACAAGAAAACAGGTTAAACCAATAACAACTTTATTTTAGGTTACTGTATATAAATGTTTAAAAAAGTGACATACACTACATTTTTAATTCCAACGCTATATTTAAGAATTATTTAGTCTAATCTTCTTGTCCTCCTCTCGGGTCAAAATGACAATTCTTCCCTCCTTCTTTCCTCCTGCCATGCTTTCTCCTTCCTTTTTCTCATCCTGTTTTCCTTCTCTCTGTTCATCCTTCTATATTCCCTTCTTTTCTCTTCCTTCCTTCCTGTCTCCCTTCTTTCCTTCCTACCTTCCTTTCTTCCTCCCTTCCTCTTCTTTGACCAAAGATTCGTTCCCTGAAACCTCCTTTTCGTAGGAAATTTGACAATCTGGATCAGCAATAACATTGTCCTCTGTCTCTGAAAAATCCTCTGTTTCTGAAATCTCTTCCTCTACATTATTATCCCAGTTAAAAATCTGTGATAAAACCTCCTCAGATGTCATCCTTCTGGAGCTCATTTTTGGTGAGTTTGTCTAAAGCCTAGCGTGTACATCGACAGAGTAACTGGAGACAACTAGTTGAAGGCGGCTTTTGGCGACTGAGAGGAGATGATGGAGATGATCAGTTGCTGAAATCGGTTGATGTGAGTGCTCTTACAACTGGAGATAAACAGTCGATTTCCGGATTCAGTCAGTTTGCCGTGTTCTACTTTTCGGCAACTAGTTTTACTCAGATCCGGAGATATCACCCGATGTGCGCGCTCCAACAACATTTGTGTATTGCGTGTATTGCGCCCTCTACAGTTTATGTCAGAAAACACACTGTAGTTGAGGCCAGTTGCTGTCGATGTACGCGCTGTTATTCCCGAGACTGGTCTGCTACTAGGAGATGCCCGTTTTCGCCACATTGTCGATGTGTGCGGGGCAGGAACTCAAAGGCAACGGATATATTCAGTTGCCAGTCCGATGTACGCTAAGCAAAAGAGATGACATGAGAACAGTGACAAGGGCAAGTGTGAGAAAGTTCCCTCTCTTCACACACCTGGCTCTGGGTCCCAGAGGCAATCAAAATACAATGTCAAAGAGACATGTTTTTTTGGATCTGAACAACTATTTACCCACATTAAAGCGTCTGGGTCAAAATGACCCGCTACATCTTTGTATACAAACTCTGCACAGACATTCCACTACACATCAAAGAGTCCAGATTTTACACACCTGTTCATGACCCTAGATGAGGAAAAGTCACCAAATTTCAGCAAGAAAAAGAAAGGATAACCAGTACTTTGATCAACACAAAAACTGAAATGGGTCAAATTGACCCTTAACATAATACAAGGGTTAAAGGTGTTCTAATGTTGGCTTTAATGATTGTTAAACATACTTATCTTATTTCAGCAAAGAAAAGTTGATACAATGGAAGTAATGGATGAATACCATATAGATATAAGGGTGATTTAACGCATACAATTCTAAGTTTGACTTAATGGTGGCAATATTTCCATACATGTTCTGTTATTTTCAATTGGCCAACAAATTCAATACACATTTCCAGATGGTTCAAGAATCCCAAGTTTTATTAGTGAGGCCAATCTCAATAAGACATTGCTCATTGTATGGTCTATTCTTTATTCTGTGGAAATGGGTTCTAAATGACCGGTGACTATTTCATAATCAAGAATGTGAATATATATTGTGTGCATTTTCTTTTTACTGCAATATGAAAAGTTTGATTGTATTGAGTTGCTTGAGTTATTACTTGCTTCTTCAGCCCACTCCTTTTGATCAGAATTTATACTGTTCAAATAAAGAAGCAACAACTGTCATCATTTTACATTCAAAGTTACATTTCGACCAAAAAAACGGCCAAACCCGATCATATATTTTTTGCCAAATCTGATAACTTTTAAATTTGATATTGTAATGTTTTATGGTGTTTTTTGCCTTAGGACTATGGCTAATACTGGCACATTCACAGTAATGTCGATAAACGTATATGTCCCTATTCAAATAATACACTAAATAATGAAAAATATACTAATTTCACAAAAACATTAGTTCACATAAGACCCCTCAAAGTCCAGCCCTATGCAAACATACATTTACAGCATAATTAGCACAATATAGATTATTCACCTTAAGCTAAATTCGAATCCAATAGTATAGTGCTTAATTCTACACATAGATGTACAATAAAATATGCACAAGTCTTCTTATCAGCCCCGTAATGAAAAGTGAACATCAGAGGCAGTGCGTGTGAAAAGAAAGGCCAAACGTGTGTAAGTGCGTCTGCCTGAAAGTCTCTATGAGCGCGCAGAAAGAGACGCATGAAGACGTCTGAACGGTGCGTCTGCGCGGGCCCCTGAGTCGCTCTGTTCGCTTCACCTCGTTATCGTTATCGTCCCGCTCCATTGTGGCATGACGGGCGGAAAATGATTAGAGGAACAGGTGACAATGGAAGCAGAGATTTGTGGCTTTACCTGGGGCCAACGCCACTGCCAGGTACAGCTGCATTACACTCAAAAGAAAGACGCGCACAAAAGACCCGAGCCCTTTCTTAAAACACTCATGTCTGCTCCGGGGCGCGCAGAACAGGGAGCCGTGCGCGCGTCCCCGTCCTCGGCTTTTGAAGGGGAAAGGGGGGAGACGCTTTGAAAAGAAAGAAAAAAAGAAAAGAAAGAAAGATCATCTAGTTTTTGGGTGGAAGTCGCGCTACAGGAATGTGCCCACGTGTATTTGTAAGGAGCGTGTCTTGTGATGTAGTAACACAGGGGCATTATCTAACCCCCCCTCTGTTATCTCGCCCCTTAAAGCCTACACAAAGCTATCTGCGCTGTGGACTTTTCTGACTATTTATGTCAGACAAGGTCAGGATCGTTTAAATCGTTCGGCCTCCTTCAGCCCCTGCAGATGAGATAGCGGGGAAGAGGGAGGGAGAGACGATCGATGGCAGCCAACACGCAGATTTATTCCTCCTTCATCCCCTCATTTTATCCCCCGTTCATGGCGCAGCAGGATGCATCACTTTCCCTATAGATTCTAACTGGCCACTTTTCGCCAAATGAAAGGCGTCACCCTATCAATCTGCCCTGGGTGTGATTGGCATACATTCTAGGGCAGCTTGTATGTGGAGACAGGAGAAGCCAGGGGAGGATGTAGGCTATATTCACAGGCTCCAGCTTCCTGTTTCAAGAAGCATTTTTAGGATTTTTCACAATCAAAACATATTTTGACCTGTTAAATTTATACGGCCAGTAAAGTCTCAAGTCTCAATCTGCAATTCAGACCATTTGAGACTACTTTAGACCATACCTCAATATATGTACCTCAATACAATGGATTCAATATAATATAATTGGCTACAATTCAGTTAAAAAATAAGGCTTTTTACCCAACATAATGCTAAATCCCACAAAAACAAATACACAACATTAATGCATTTATGCTCAATTTGTTGAAGATTGTTGGTTGAAACTGCCACCCCCAACCCAGAAATGGATACAGGGGAAGAAAATGTATTCAGACTTTTGCCTCTTTTTGCATTATGTGGATCATTATGTGGGGTATTAGCTTTAAAAAAATATTGATATTACAAAACACTCAATAATGTTGCTGTTTTTATTATAGATCAATTACTTCTGTGTCCATTTGGAGCTAGCAGCTTCTGTTTGTACATTCTTGCACATAGGTGTGTGAGTGTGCACATGTGTGTATGTGCATGTGCATATGTGTGTGTGTGTGTGTGTGTGTGTGTGTGTGTGTGCGCGTGTGTGTCTGTGTGTGCATTGCTGTCACTCATGTCTTGGGTTACTCTGTAGTTGGCCGCATGATAGATGGCTCAGGCCAACCTCACGCCCCGAGACGGAGCTGCTGGACAGCATGTCACTGCCAGTTTCAGTCAGTGTGCCGGGTGCATGTTTGCAATTTGAGGATGTCTATGATTCGAGGGACTCCGGGCCAGTTCCCACTCCCGCTGCAACAGGAGAGCTGCAGGAGGATGGCCTGGCAGCAGGTCTGTGTGTGTGTGTCCTGCTGAGTGTGGTGGCCCCATCCCCTTCCTGCCCAGACCACACGGCTAACCAAAACCCAATGTGCGTGTGGACATTACCCAGGCCAAGGGGAAGACACCCTGCACACTGCACAGGGAGTCATTATTATCAATACATTTCATTTGGTTTGGATACAGGAAGAAGAAACAAGAGCTTTTCAATGCATTGCTTTTCAGAGAATGGCACCACATCTATCTCCATGGAGACGTGGTGGCACCACAAGGCCATGGTCAGATCTTTGGAGATACCACCCTGTAAAGATGACATGTTTTTAAGGTATTTAGCAGTTTTATGTTAGGTTTCAATTCTGTGATTTTAGTCATATGGAAACAAGTTTCGATATGTTTTAAGTTAAAAATCCCACTTTCTGCTACAACATCACAGCATGAAACGATTTGTAATGTTAATTTTTATCCAATGTATCATAGTTGTATGAAAGGCATCAGTTTATATGATGATGATGGTGGATCCTTCTACATCATAAACCTCTGAATGGCAGATGATGTACACAAATTTTTTTAAAATTCCAGTTTGTAACAGCTATTTCACCACAGCGCCACATTCTTATACGTGCCAGATAATCATACTAATGCTTTTCAGCCAATACATACATCTATTCTATCTTCTCTAACTCTATGACAATATAGGTATTTATGTAAACCAGGGCCAATCAGATTTATACTTATACATATACACACTACTTTTATCTTATCATCCAGAGAAACTCGAGTGCTTTACACAATGTGTCATTTTTCTTTATATTTTAGGAATCAGCTTTTTTATACTGTTGCATTTCAAATGTTATTGCTTTCTTCTTACTTCTTGTAGCACTTTGAGCTTTGTGTGCCAATGATAATTAAGTGTTAATACATTATCATCAATATTATTATTATTATCATGAACTATTTTCTTTCAGATGTTGCAGATCCACAGAAGTTAGGACCACACCTATTGCAGTGGTGGAAATGTGGTGAAATCCTTTCCTCTTCTCCCTCATCTCTGAGTGATGCCAGCAGACAGCGCACTGCAGATTATAGCCGAGTATGACAAGCACGCCGTCTGATACCATATCCGCTCTGAATTACAGATCAGCCCTTTTAAATGATATTTTAAATACTGGCTCCGGGCTGCGAGTTTTCACAGGCTCTTATTTCATTGTTATTGTACTAGTACCATATTTTTGTTCGAGAATCAGTGTTGGCGCTTATTTAAATGAGCTAGAATGGGAAGCTGATATACCATTCCACTCTGTTATTTTACCTCTTTGGAAAATCCCTCAATGTGCCCCCCCCCAAACCCACCAACCCACCCTCCACCATCGCCGCTACCACCACACACCCCATTTTAATGTGCTTTTGGTTGGAATTAAAAAGGCACAGTCTGAAAAGGACAAAAGAGAAAGGACAAATTGTAATTAGCTTGATTTTGTGTATGTGCTCTGAGTGTGGTGCAGATAGGGTTAAAAGGAAGACCCATGCTTTGATTACATTTTCTGTGATGGGTGACTTTTAAGCTGGCACACGTTTCTTATTCTGATCAATGCATTAATAGCAAATGGAGAAAAGCGCTATTGTTTTTTTTAGAGGAAGTTCAGAGAGGATGTGATGGAGCTGATGCAGTACCACCAAGGCTGTGCTGGGTGGTGCTGTTGTTCCAGCCATGTTTTTGGATTTGGGATGAAAAGTCCCAGGGTTTCATTTGGGAAGGCTGTGAGCTCTTTGTGCTTTGGCGTTTCATGATGGGATCCTCTGGAGAGCAGGGGATGGAGAAGACACTCTTTTCCCCTCTAACCCGCCCATCCTCCCCCTGCTGGAATACCCCCCAACCTTGACATATTGAGAATGAAAACGATGGTTTCACATGCCGTGCTCGCTTGTTGACAGCGTTAACACTCTTTTTATGTGTGTTTTGATAGCTGAAAATGAACCATATTAGACTGTTATGAAAAATTATGTTTAGGCCTGCATGTGCCGATGCGAAGACATGCATTGACTCCATGTCTGTGTGTCCACGTAACTCAATTTCCGAGACAGAAAATCCTTTTCCTTTGGTTTGGTATGCCACAGACAGAGATGAGGAAATACTCACACTGCTATAATTGTTTATTGTATGGACTAAAGAATGTTAAATTTACCCAAGAGGGCAGAAAATGGGGATAAACTTGGTCATTTTAATTCTGTCACTCATAGACACCCTTTTGAAAACAACCACATTCTTATCTTTGACATTTGTTCCTCTGATCTTTTAAACAGCATTTCTCACTTCCATTCTTGATTGTTTTTGCTGGTGTAAATGGTATAGAAATACACAAAGATCCCATAAATGCAACACAGATTTTATTTTATGTTTATTCAGAATCTCAAACCATACTCTTATTGCAGATTACTCCTCTTGTATAGTCAATGTTATCTAAGTGGTCTCCCATATACAAGATACAGGAATTTATTTGCTATTTGCAGTAAAACCACATTGGAAACACTGTGCAAGACGTCCCCAGTGTGCACTAGATAGTATTTATTTATTTTATTTATTAATTATGGATTTCCCCTTGAGATGAACCATCTCTTTTTCGAGGGGGTCCTCATGGTACACACCAGAACTCTTGCCACGGCGCCATTTTTCCAGTGCCACGCGGATATATGTGGATATAATAAACTTTAAAGTAATTCAAATACACAGCTCAAAAATGATTTTAATGGCTCCAAGATCACAGCTGCAAAATTAGAATCATAATCAGATCAGATATTTTCGATCGCCTATATCCTTACTCTCTCACTACAAGCTGTTCCCACGCTGTTTTTCGAGGTAAACATTCAAATCCACTCTTTGTTCCCACACTCCCTCACCTTTTCCTTTCCAGTTATAGGCTCCAAATGAAACAGTGTTATTCATAGCCTCCTCGGCATGCTCTTAAAGACTTAGCCCTCCTGCCCTGGCCATTCAATTAGCCACCGTGGTCTGTACCAGTGTGTATGAGGTCTCGGCGTGTGCTAACTGCTGCCCTGTCTGAGCAGCCAACCTCAACTAAGGGCCAGGCTCAAACGGAGGCTTAGAGCTAACCAGGTCATAGCTGACGGCGAGCTGTGACTGCGGCAGAAGGGGCTCAAATCAGCCCTGTCCACCTCGTGCATGTCCCCGGCAGGTGCATGGCCGAAAAAACAACAGCTCTTGTTTCCATGATGTCACGTGAGGAGTTGATTTTTGTTAGAGTTTGTTTTAGCTAACTCTCCACTGCCTACGTGCTCACCTGTAGGCATGTCTTTCAGCAGTTTTGTTTTCACAGGCCGTCAGGCTACAGCGGTTTTGTGCAGTTATGGTTTGGTAATCACCGGGCAATTCAGTTGAACCAGTCCTGTCTAATGCTGACACGCGTTTGACCTGAGAGGAAGATGTAATCAGGAATGCACTGTGCAAATATTGATGTAAGGTGAGAAATAGATGTCATTGTTGGAAAGATCCCAATTCACTGTTGTTGATTGGCGCACAGTTTAATGATAATGAGGGCCTTTGTGACTGTTTCCAAAATTGTCACATTTTACAGGTGAATATTGTTCAAAAGTTCATGTATTTCTGTCAGTCAGCTTAAAATGTGAAACTAATCCATGATATAGAAAGTCACATTTCAAGCCTTTGTTAAAATGTTGATAGTTATGACTTAATATTCAACATTTCTGAGATGTTTTTTCAAGCTGTGAACCAATTATCAACATTATAACAAATAGAGGCTTGATGTATCTCACTTTGGGTGTAATGCGTAAGTTAACTCATTGACTTCCAGCCGTTTTTGATGATTCCATTGATTCTCAAGACTCACAGAATATTATTTCCTAAGACTATGTGAAATATGAAACCAGATTCTGAAAGACTGGATTATGTACTTTGATGGAAAACAATAAGTTTGTTTTTAGCTATTTTTGTTGTCCTGTAATCCCCAGTCGAATAGAGGGTCTCAGACCAATACGTCAATGGCAGTTAATGAGTTAAATTACAAGAAAATTTACTTTTGAATGTAGTCTGACAAGTTTCACCTGCTTACTAGAGGCATTATTACAGATATTACATTGAAATATTTCATATCAAATGCATTTGTTTTTGTACAGTACCATTACTAAAAAAAGTTAGTCTCAAAGGACTTGCTGATTTGCCAACAGCAGATTAGAAAATCAAACCATAGAAAAGGGTCCAAAAAGACAAACAAATGGATGTTCAGTGGAATTAAGTAATTTTTATCGTTGATGAGTAATAACAAATAGAAATGTAAAAGTATAGCCCTAACCAAATCATGGCCACATAATTCTAATGACAATGTGAAATTTATATCAATTTGTTAAACTGAAAGGTAGAAGTATTAATTTAGATTCTCCTGTTGACATTATTTATCTTCCATGTTTGTCTTCTTCTTCTGTATACATGTTTTTTGTGTTTCTCATTATCCAAACACAGATTCATTCATTCGCTAAAGGTAAATATCGGCTGCAGTGGTACACACCTGTCACCAGATCTTTTACTCAAAAACGTTTACATGATATGAACTGCGAACAAACTGTTATATAGATGTAAAGATTCTGTGATTCTGACCCCTGCAGTATATATTTATATACATTAGGACCTGACTGATGGACATTTCCTGCCATCATGGATTGTATAGTGTGTGTGTTCCTATAGTCTGCCATTCCCGAAGTTGTTGGAGTGTGAAGACATATAATTGCTTCATGAAACCTAACTAAGCGATATGAATAATCTGTCAGTGGAGGAGGCGACCAAGCCTCCATGCCAATCATAGAGGTGTACCAGAGAAGCAGAGCGTGGCCAAAACCATACCTGCCCATCCGGAAAAACATATCTGTCCCTCAACTTCCTCTTTCTGCCCAGAGCTGTTATCAGAGCGAGGAGATGAGTGACTGTGGAGGCCCTGCTCTGCCTCTGTGATCAAGTGTCTATCAGATCCAGGGGAACTGATTGTTTTAGAGGGAGCAGCACATCTGCACAGAATACAGATGCAAAAGACTCAACGGCTGGGTGATACTACACATCCTTTTGGGTCAAGCTATGACCTGGGAAGTTATGTGTTGGGTTTTATATAGTTCAGATTGTTGAGCAAGTTTGGGAAGAAATACAAGGTGTGTCTGTCAAGCTCTTCCAATAAATTCACTAAGATTACATTTCACAAGACACCAGGTTAACCATCTTGTTAGCTAAACCAGTACCATGACCTATGTATGGTTCGCAATTGGGAATAATTTAAAATGTATTCCTTAATAAAACTTACACACACAAATAATGTACCTTAAAGGGGCCGAATATGTAATGATTTAGTTTGATATAGGTCATTATGTACAAATCATAGTTGACCTTTTCCGAACACATTTTTGAAGTCGAGATATTTGTAAAACATACTTATATATTTCTAATGTGTATAAGCAGATTATCCAACCAGAGTGCTAGAATATGTCTCTGGTTTGCCAGTTTTAGGTCAAATTAATATTAAAACAAAACATTCAAGCAAGACAAATACTAGCCCACATTTCAATGAAAGCAAGTACAAATATAAGTAGTCCTCTACATACAGTAACAGAGAGTTTGTACCGTTTCTCGCTAAATCCCAGTTGGTGGTTTGCACCTGTGATTATAGCAGCTGCGTGTGTGTCACAGGAAGTACAATTCTGGCAACGATAAAGGATTTTAATTGTAAAGACTTCATTAACCCTATATTAATAGTTTATTGACTATATACGGCTCCTTTAAGTTTAGGCTCGAAATGTCCTTGAGATAAACCATGTGATACAATATAAGCATCCTGTGTTTACATGTGTTCAAGGTACCTATAAGTAAGGTTATATTAAGCAAAACACAATCAAAACAATAGCAATAAATAACTATGCAAAGCAGATAATCAAATATTCTAGGACAAACAGCCTCCAGAACTCTGTATTACTACAAACATGTCTATCCTTCTCCTACAAAGGAAGATCTTTTCATTTGCTCCACAGCGACGTTTTCTCCTGGTTTCTGCATTTGTCTGTGTGTCTGCGCGCTTAAGCCTATATCATTTTTGTTTTTATCACAGATCTTAAAGCTGGGTCATGTGTTGTTGCTTCAAATTTCATCATCCATCGCTCTTATCTGCTGTTTTCACACACAGCCACTGTAATACTGTACTAACACACGCACACGACTCCCACTATAACGGCATAAGCAAGAGCCATCGGTGGGAGGGAGGTAAAGTAGTTAAAGCTAAAGAAGAGACGTGGAGAAATGCGCCTGTGTGACTTTGTTTTGACTATTTGTGTTTTGAACGTTGGCGTCTGATATCCCCAAACGTTGTGCGTAGACCTGTCCACGATGAGACAAATGAGATCTGTGCAATCTCTACAGCTGATTGAGCTCCGCAGACCTGTTTCTGTACGGTTCACAAACTGTAGCCTGTTTTGTCTCTTGTCTCTTTACACAAACTTATGTAAAATGATTGGGATCAGGCTTTGAATTCTTTGCTTCTGTAGAGTATGTGAGGGTGAATGTCAGGTTGTGGAGTTTAAGTGCATTTCGTCGTTGGTTCATTCTTGCAATATCTAAAACAATTCTGGAGGTTATATTTCCTTGCTTGGAATGTACCTCATTACTATATTGTACGTTATTTATTTACAGATGTTTGTACTGCTCAAAAACATCACACACAGATATGACTCCGTTCATGGCTAATTTCTTTTCTAGATTTCAAGAACTTCAACAAACAAAGAGTGAAATTATGATTGTGTTTTTATTATTATTTTGTTATTATCATTATCATTATTATTATTATTATTATTTTTTGTTTATTGCCTTTTTTTTAATGTATGTAGTCATACATGTGCAACTGAGAAAATGTGAAAAATCATATTACAGTTCATCCATCCATCCATTTTCTTCCCCTTAATCCATTTCTGGGTCGGGGGGGTGGCAGTCAGAGCTGCACCCAGTTCACAGAGCACCAGCCCCTCACTGATCCTCCTGCAGGTGGTGAGTCCACAGAAGCTAAGATCTTTCAGTGGGGGCTTCAGGCAAAGTGGGGTTAAGTGTCTTGCCCAAGGACACAACAACAGCAGTCATCAGTGGGAGTCGTGAAGTAGGTCTTATGGTGGGCTCGAACCCACGACCTTCAGGCCTAAAGGCCAGTGCTCTACCAACTGAGCCACTCTCAACAAGATTTGATGTTACATTATTAGGGCTATAGTTAGAACACATTTAATGGATTTATTATTTTAGTAGGAACAGGAGACATGTTTATTGTCAAAATAGGTTGGATTGACTGTGCATTAAAACACCTCATCATTAAATCATGTTGTGTCCAGTTGTGCCAGCTTTGTTTTCCTTTAGTCAACTGTTGGTTATTTGTTACATTACATCATGGAAACCTGTGGCTTAAATTCCAGTGCAGCCTATACGTGGACAAACGTTACTTTCTTTTAATACTTTTCTTAAAATTTAGTGGATGTGGTTTATAAACAGGTGTGCTTAAGAGCCCAGCAAGCACTCTAGTTTTGCCCCTCACCCACTGAACTGTATTTTTTTGCCTAAAAGAGAATAAAACAACATTTCACATTGGAGAGACCCATGAGGAAAATGCCGTTAGACTTAGATTTAAGCATGTTTATTGATTGAGCATGTTGTGTTGAGGGATGCTGTTGAGCACGGCGCTTGCTCGCGTGCATAATCCCCCCCGGGGCCTAGGCACTGGTGGCGGCAGAGGCAGTAGGTAAGCACGCTTTGGTGAGAAAAGGAGGAGGTGGGGCGGCGGAGGCTTGCAGACTTCAGAAGGCCGGGAAAGGGGGAGTCTCCGGCTTTTAACTTGCTGTCCTGGTGGTTATTGGTTGGCTGGATGTGGGCGTTGCTGGTCTGATGAGCCGAGGAAGAGCAGCCTGTAAGCAGCAGCCGGGTCTACCACAGTGAACTTTCGCGAAAGCTCCATTTTTTTCTGCTCATAAATATCTGCTGAAACTACTTTCATAAAGCTGTTTTTGATCAACATTGAAATGAACATAGGGGCGACAGTGGCTCAGTTGGTAGAGCATTGGCCTTCAGGCCTGAAGGTTGTGGGTTCAATTCCCACCTCTACACCTTCTCCACCGACTCCCACTGATGACTGCTGTCGTTGTGTCCTTGGGCAAGACACTTAACCCCACTTTGCCCAAAGCCCCCACTGAAAGATCAAAGCTATGCTCACACTCAGAGCAGCCGTCCTCCTGTGGACTCACCACCTGCAGAGGGTCAGTGAGGGGCTGGTGCTATGAGACTTGGGTGGCATCTCTGACTGCCACCCCCCTGACCCAGAAATGGATTAAAGGGTAGAAAATTGATGGATGAAATGAACATAGAACTATTAGCCTGGGCCTTCCCATGAGATAAGAACAAAAACCAGGCTAGCAGCATACAGAATTACAGTTTTAAAATTCTTAACATTGGTATTGTTCCGTAACTTTTGCTGAAGTCATGGGCCTACATTAAATTGTAAAAAGAAAAAAAAAATCATAATCTGACAACTTCACAGCACTAGTCCAGTCTTCACAATGGGATTCTGGTTGACCCGGACTCCTCGTAGCTGGTCCTCCCTCAACAGTGAAGCCAGGAGCTGATTGGACGTTATCAGCTGCTGTGGAGAGAGGGAGGGGCCTGGTGTGGTGCTGCATAATGGCTTCCGGTTTTTAGGAGGAAACGAGATGTAAATGAGGTAATTATGTGCCTTAACCAGGGCAAACAGCGTGGACCTTCTAGCCCTGGTCACAGTGTATTTATAACCCTTAATGACCTGAGGTGGGACTGTCTGCACAAAGTCTGGGGCCTTCGAGCAAGTCTTCCAGAACAGACAAGTTTTTTTATTTTGCTCTAGATATTTCTCAAAAACAAAAAACAGAGAAAAAGAGTGACCATTAGACATCAATCAATCAATCAATCAATCAACGTTTATTTATAGAGCGCCTTTCCTACACAAGGCAACGCAAAGCGCCTCACAACCCATATAACATCATGCATAAATCATCAAACATTAGAATTTAAGTAAACATAAAAAGACAGATTAAGAGCACAAGATATATAAAATCACACAAGTAGTTAAAAACCGTAAAACATTAAAATCACACAAGGGATTACAATAATAAATAATCATAAATAATCATAGCGCATTAAAAAGATTAAAGATAAAAACAAATATAAAATCATTCACTTGTATGCACAGCTAAAAAGAACTGTTTTCAGTTCAGTTTTAAAAACTGCTAGAGTAGACGCCTGTCTCACACTCTCGGGAAGACGGTTCCAGACTCTAGCTGCATGAATCTGAAACGCAGCCTCCCCATGTCTAGTTCCGACTCTTGGCACTGACAGAAGTCCAGTCCCTGTGCTCCTCAGAGCCCGAGTTGGTTCATATGGCACCAACATGTCGCGGATGTACCCTGGTGCGAGGCCATGGAGAGACTTGTACACAAGTAAAGCTACTTTAAAATCTATTCTCTGAGCCACAGGAAGCCAGTGCAGAGACCTGAGGACCGGACTAATGTGGTCGTACTTCCTGGTTCTAGTCAGGACTCGAGCTGCAGCATTTTGGATGTACTGCAGCTGTTTTACCGCTTGTTTAGAGAGACCTGTGAACAAGCCATTGCAGTAGTCCAATCGACTGGAGACAAATGCGTGGATAAGAATCTCCAAGTCTGCTTTAGACACAATGTTCCTAATTTTAGCAATGTTTCTTAGGTGGAAGTAAGCTGATGATGTCACAGATGATATGTGGCTATTGAAATTTAAGTCTGAGTCCATTATTACTCCTAGATTTCTGACCTGAGTTGAGGGTTTTAGGGAGAGAGACTGGAGGTGGTAGATAACGCTCTCTCTTTGTTTTTGAGGTCCGAAAACAATAATTTCAGTTTTTTCTGTGTTTAGCTGGAGAAAGTTATTTTGCATCC